AAAATATATTAAATCTTGTACAGAACTTAATCCAGATCAAGTAAAAGAATTGGATCTTAATTCTGTACGTAATATTACAATGCAAGATTTTCGTGATTCGCTTAAAAGAATTCGTAGATCAGTGTCTCCTGCAAGTTTGGCTGCTTATGAAAAATGGAGTTTTGAATATGGTGACGTAAGTCTATGATTTTTAAAAATTAATTGAACTTTATAAAACTTTAAAATAAATTATACTGAAATATATCGATATTTAAAAAGAAAAGAAGAAAAAACTTAACAATGAAAAATACAACAAAAACGATATTCTGCGATATTAATTAAAATGATATTAATTATTATAGAATGTAAATATAGCAGCTTTTACATTTTCTAAGCTAATTTATAAAATAACATCTATATATGAAAAGAAAATGTAATAATATTGCATAAAACATTCTTGCTAAGTACTCTTTTTTAAATAGCTTTATATAATATATATATATATATATATATATATTATAACATTATAATATTATATAATATATATATATATATTATAACATTATAATAATATAATAATAATATATATATATTATATACATAAATAATATATATATATATATACAGACATATTATACATTTCATACTCCATCCAGTAATCAGGTATCATAGATTTAAGTTTCATTCTAAAAATGTTAATATTAGAATTTCAATGTTTGTAGTTATATTATAGCCTACATAGATTTTTCTAATTTTTTTATGTCATATTTCGATAAACTATTAACTTTAACTTCATTAAATCATAATTTAATTTTTGTTATATTATTAGCAATTTGCAAATCATTATGATATGAATTATTCTAACAATACAAAAAAATATATAATTCTACAGTTACAATTACAATATGCACTTTATAATAAAAAGAGTAATGTAAATATTTAATTACTTACTTATATTTCAAGCACAATTAATTTAAATAATATCTGTAGAAAGACTGTATTTGCACATGAAACAGCTCACGTCCAATCAGATAATAAAACAATTACTGTAATTGAGTATAAACAGATTAAGTACTGCTATAATTATGTTATCAAATAAACATGAAAATAAATAATAATCTTGATCTTATATAAATATGTGCTAAAAGTATGCAAATAGAACTCTTTTAAGCACGTGAATTTTGTAAAATATAACAAATTACCTATTGTATAATGTACTTGGGAAGAATATTACAATTATTATTCTTGTTATGTTTGATAATACTTCAGATATTCATTTCATAATTGTTAAAATGAAATAATATAATTAAAGTCTCTTAATAGAAAATATTTGACAAATTATAAATCAATTCTTGATTTGATGGATATTCTATGAGACAACGAATTGCAAGTATATTTGAACTTTGTAAAATTAAAAATATTTGTTATTTATAAGTAAATATTGTCATTAAAAAAATTAATGTTATGATAAAGATATGCTACAAAAAGAAGTCATATATAAAACTTTTTGATATTTATCTATTGCTTCAAATGCTCAAATAAAAAGCGATTGTGCTTGTATTTATAGTTACCGATTTAAAAATGCATTTATTACAAAATCATAATACTAAGCTTTGTTATTATTATTTCACTTTAAAATTAATTAATTAAAAATATCTTAATTTTATTTGACATATATTTAATTTATAGGAGAAGCTTATAAAAATTATTTCTTCATGTTATAACTCGTTATTATTAATTTATTTTTAATGATGATAATGCAACGAGTTTAAAGCTTCTCTAGTGTGATCAGTAGTCAATACTGAACTATAAAAATATTATATATATATATATATTATGTGAAATAATGTTGAAAATTTTTCTTATTTTTATGTCATGTAATTTAATAAAAAGAAGTGTGGCTCCTTTAACATGTTAGAATTTTTAACTATGTAATAATTAGACTGCGGAAGTTAATGCAGTATTAGATTCAGATATTGTATGTAAAATTAAAAAATTCATGCAATTATGTTTAATTAGATATATATAGGATATATATAATAGTATATTTACATTATATATACATTTAAACTTTAGTGATCCTTAATATACATATATAAATATTGCATACATTTAAAACATAAATTTTTAATTTCCTAAATGTGTATTTTTAATACACATATATTAAAAATTAGAATAAAAATACACAAATCGGTATTTTAATACATTTCAAAATTATTAAAAATATTAATACAAGTGTGCTCATATATTTTAATACAGCTTCTAATGGATAATTGTGTATAAAAATTATATAAATATAAATAATGAATACATTTAATATATGTAAAATAGAGATATATATTAATCTTTGATGTTACAATGTTAGCTGCCTATTACACAAATTTGTTATAGCAACTCGGCAAAACAAGCATATTTAATTGCTATGATTTATAAGATTGATAAGATATTAATAAGATTGAATAAATTTTGACAATTACTTGAATTAAAATATAAACAAATTCTATATATACAAAAAAGATAAAAACATACACAACAAATATGCAAAATAGAAAATATATTTATAAGATTTTTTCATGATAAAATATATTCATGTTGAAATTCTATTTGCTTAATTTATCTTCTTACTTATTTAATTCCATGTGCACAAACTTCCACAGTCTAGTTATAATTGATGCACTTATAGAAAAGTGATAGCTATAAAAAATATAAGTTTGCACTTGTGCAAAATTGCGTGTTTTTTTTATTTAATATGCAAGTAATAAATAATGTCAAATAAATTTAATTTCAGAATTGTAACAATATAAATATTAAGTTAATATATATTGCTGAATATTATATGTACAATTAATTTGATTGAGGAACTTGTAGATTTAATGTTAAGTCAATGTTGAAATTGTTTATGTTGAAAGAGTATAATGTAAACTATATTGAAATTTTACTTACTTTAGATAAAATATTTTTTCCTTAAATTGATGTCAGTCGTATTTAAAAATTTTTGCATTAAATAATTTATAATATAAATAAGTAAAATACTTTTGCTCGAATTTCGTCAATAATCTTGCACAACAGACTGTTATGAATATAGATATATCTCCATTTACAACCCTGGCCTTCCATGTTAAAAACACGTTCTGCCTCGATTAAGTTATTTTGCTACTTTTATAAAAACTACTTTTATAAAAAAAACGAAAATTTCTTAATAACGTAAGCAAAACAGTAATATTAATATCAATTTATGCTATGTAAATTAAAAATAATCAATTGTGAATTGATTATGCAGAAATATTTGTGCACGGTTACATGAATTATGTTTTCTTGATAAATACATTATATAAATATATAAATACATTCAAATCCTTTTTTCTGAATGATATAAAGATAAAAATTATTTTAATTAAAAAAATTCATATCACTTATATTATGCATTAAATGCAACTTTTCTAAAGAGATAATAATTATTAACAAAATAAGTAATAATTTATTTGATAAAACGTAACATAAAACTTGTAAAACTTATTTTTATTTCATGAATGGTGTGTTTTTCATAGATCTTGTCAATTATTTTTTAATTAATGCCAAATCTATATTTTTGAACAATATTATAAATTATGTAAAAAAGTATATGGAACAAGATAGACAGATTATAATTGTAAATTGCAAACTTAAATTTTCGTTGAGCAACTCCTCCTTTTAATATATTATATCGTAGTATTCTTCGCTTGATAAAACAATTAACAAATACATATTGAATTAACGTTAATATACTCAGTGACATGCAATTAAATAGTAATTTTTAAATGTAATTGAATAGTATAGTGTCACTTGTTGTACAAAAATACAAGATATTCTATTTAGTATTTTGCCGCTGTGTGATCGAGATCGAGGAACGCATGTATTGTGTGTAATAAAGTGTACAGTACAAATTATTCTTCAGCGCATTTTATTTAAAAAAAGGAATGCTCGCAACTTTCAAACGAAAATCAATTAAATTATTCACAATTTTACCGAATTATAATTTTTTATTATAGTGTTAAAATATTCCAACTTGACATTACTAATATTCGTGAAAAAAAATTTTAATTTTTAGTAATAATAATATAATTGAGTAAGAATCCGTTTTAAATTGAACAACGCTTCTTTTATACGGAAAACGAAATTATGTATTTCAATAAATCGCAAATTTTGTACTTAAAGTTCAATTTTATTGTGTCAAAAAATCAGTCAGAATTATGTCTTCTACATTAGTCATTCAGTCATCAACTGCTTGACGCGATAATTTGCAGAAAAAAATATCTTCGATTAACTTAAACGATTATTGTAAAAGTATGTCGGCTGTAAAATAAAATTACCTTGTTTATGTACTTAAAAAACTTATATTATTTTTACATTTAACCAGTTATAAACGAAGGTACTACGTTCCTTATAAATTTAAAAAATCACTTTTGATATTATTTCATAACTTTATATTTTATAATAACGTGGGCTATGAAATAATACAAAATATTGTGTATTTTAAATATTTATTCCTTTTTTTTCATTCAAAGGACAATTTGTTTTTATTATAAGATAACATTATCCTAAGCATTTTCGAGGGTTCCACACCCTGCTGTACCTAAATTATTTTTTATATAACATTTTTTTTTATGTCTTCCATCGGTTCACTGATTATTATTAATCCATAGACAAGTTCTTTTTCTTAAATTGGCTCTCCGTAGTTCGATATCACTTATCGCAGTCAATTAATCATTGCTATATCGACTTATGTTTCTTCTGTTATTACATTCAGTACTGACTTTATACAAATTGGTTTTGAAAGGTTTATGGCTTTTTATCGTCGGTGGTGAAGCGAAGTATCGATAAATTTTTATTACACTAATTCACTCTAATTTTCTTTTATTATTAATTTATTAACTTGATGAAACATTTTAAAAAATAAGCATTCAAAAAATTACCAGAATGTTAAATTTTTTAAAGAAAATAAATATAAAACTAAATTTTGTTGAAAAATAAAGAATAAAATATCATTTAAATTGTGTAACAATTTTTCATCTGTATAATAATTAGAAGATATGAAGATATAAGTATTGTATTATATCATAATTGCAATAACTTTAAAATATCGAATAATATCAAATATGATTGTCAATTGATATACTGATTGTTACAAGAGAAAAAATTAATATTTTATAATATATTCAAAAGAAATGTAATTTAACTATCAATGTATAAATTAATAAAGATAAGACAGTAGTGACTCCAACTCTTAGTGGAAGTGTTTATCATTATCATTATCATTATACTTAAATTACATATAATAATTACACCAAGACTCGCTATTTCTTTGTACAGATGGAGAGGAGTCACTATGCAATATAAAGTATATTCAACAAGTCAAATTCAATATTTTCATAAGATATTTCACTTTTGACACTTCCAGAAATATTTTCTTTAAAATTTTTTATAAGAATGTTTTGTACATTTACCACCGACGATAAATATCACAAAACGAGGGAAGTTTACAACTCGTTTATCGACTTGCATAGTTTATTTTAATAAGGGCCCTGCATACGTCAAAGCATGCATCCAAATCTAGCTACATCACAGGCGCCGTGTCTACCTATACTCTCTATCTTATATTATGTTCAATGTCATACTTTGTGTTTACCATAAATGAACATTTATCTTTGTTCATTAATGATTTGAAATAAACTAAAGATTGGTAATTGTGGCAAAAATATTAAAAATATAACAACGTAATGGTCGCATACATACATACACCTTACGCAGCACAACGAATGCAGGGCTCATCAAGGGGCTGCAATTTTAAGTTCAGAAATATACCTCATTCAACACCTTAGAATATAAATCGTTTTGAAAAGAGTGTTATATTACACTGATGGATTGACTGCTATGATATTTCTTCTTTCAATGAACATTACAAGATATACTTGCATGTGTTATAATGATATACGTTTCTATTGTTTGGCAAGAGAAACGTATTAAGAAAATGTATATTTAAATGTATGTAAGTGTATATATGTATATATATCACTTGATCTTTTGATGGTATAATCTCTGATATATTACTTAATATCAGTCAATATTAATACAACCAAATTTAGGAGCTTCTTCTTGCCATGTATTATACTTCAATTGAAGTAAAACTGGAAAATTTGTACATATGATGCTGCAGTCAAAATACCAATAAATTTGTTGGAACAGGTATATGACAGAACAGTTTTTGCAAACGCCCCAGGGGCAAATGTATCATATGTAACAATTAGTTGATGTTGATCAATGATCAATTTCATTGCGTGGGGTATTGTGGCATGGTGTATGTTACCATAGCAGGTTGCTGACCTGGTGGCAATGGTGCAGTTGCAGTCGGTGGTGCAGCAGTCGCTTGTGCAGGTTGCCATGTACCTGCACCAGGAGCAGGCATTCGCATACTATTCATATATTGAGCCTGTTGTCCATAATATTGACCATAGTACTGAGCAGGCTGTAAAAATTGACCTTGCATTTGTGGATATCCTTGTGGATACCAATAACTCATTTGTTGGCCATATCCATATGCATACTGTCCAGCTCCAGCTGTAACCTATTGTGTGAAAATATATTTTAATATTTTTTTAATTTATTATAATCTTAAAATATAAATATAAATAAAAAAATTGATAAAATATATAAATAAATAGAAATAAAAGAATATATGTATTAAAATTACCTGTTGAGCTTGATGATTTGCATTTGGGCCCACACTGTTGGGATCTCCATTTTCTTTTCCCCAAAAACATTTGACAATACTACCATTAATTTCTGTATTATGTGTTGATTCTATGGCATGAGTAGCAGCTTCCTTAGTAGTAAACTTTATGAAAGCATATCCTTTATCCTTAAATACTCTTATATCTTGTATGGTACCAAAAGGAGAAAATGTTTTGGTTATCAGGTCATCTGTAATGCCATTTGTAAAACCTCCACAGTATACTGTGCAATTAGTTGGACTACTTTGGTTATATACCTATTAATAATAATATATACAAATTATTAAATAAATTTAATTACTTATATCTTCATAGATTGAATTATTATATTTTCATTATATATAAAGGAAATATAATTAATGTATAATATTATTTTTTGAAATTTAAAACATACCTCTTCATAATTAGGTTTACTATTATTTGAATGTCGTGGCCTTTCAGATCGAGGTGGTGGTGGTTTCCTAGTTGACCAATTTGTCCTGATGCTTCTAGATCCAAGCCACTGACCATTCATAGCTGCTATCGCTGCTTCAGCTTCAGACTTTTTGACAAATGATACAAAGGCATATCCTTTACTTTTCATGGTTTGTGGATCGCGGACAATTCTACAATTGCTAATTTCGCCAAAAGGCGCGAATGCTTCTTTTAAAGTTTGTGTTTCAATTTCTGGCGAAAGATCGCCGACAAATATGTGATGGTGATTACTCGTATCCAACTTCGGCTGATTTCCAGGGCTCGTTGCCCAGTTAACCTTCATTTCCTTATTCAGGAAGGATCGCTTGTTCATGGCGGCTAGCGCTGTAGCCGCGCATTGATGATTCGTAAATTCAACAAAAGCATATGGATCGTTTCCTGGTTCCCGTATAATCTTGCATCCTTTAACAGCACCTATTTGTGAAAAAAGTGCGCACAAGAGTTCCTCCGACACCGAAGTGTCTAGATTTCCCACATAGAGCGTTCGCGGATTACTTTCTTCGCTCATGCTCGCTCTTTCAGAACCCCTGTACTTCCTTATTTAACTAATTTCCTTACTTTCCTTGGGCTTAATTTATGGTTCACACGTTCAGTGCGTGATACGTGCATTTACCTCGACCCCAGCATCAGAATTCAGATTTTCTCGCCTTTTCCAAAGAACACGGACGGTTGAACGCGAAGCTACACCCAGCCTCTACGTCATACTAACATAAAATGGCCGCTCTCCTGCTTCACTACTTTCCCTTCAATCATCCACGTAAACTTTCGTATTCTACCGATTAACTTACTTAAAACTATGTTTTCTTCACGCCTATTCAGTTCCTTTTATCTACCTACCTAAAGTTTATTAAATTGACTTGAATAACTCAAAACTTTATTAGCTAAAGTGTAAAGAACACGTGTTTTTGTATCATCCGTCGAAGATTTCATAACAGGTAGCGCGAAAACGCTTGTGAATCATTGGCCTACAAAATTCACTAGACAATCACTTTTTTAAGGTTGATTTTCATAAAATCTTCTAATGTTAATATTACTTGCTTATCCTTCACAAGGTGACAATAATTAATCATAATGACTATTAAAAATACGTACAATATATATATTTATAAAAATTTATAAATATATTTTATATTTATTCAGAAAAAATATATATATTGAAAAATAAAATAAAATAAAATTAATTATATTTATATTATTTTTATTATATCAAAATAGAAATTTATAATTAAGATTTAGAATTAAAAGAAATTTATTTTGTCATTTTTATAAATTTGATAGATCGTATTCTATATTTTAATTAATAAAACATAATTATTTAGCATATAATAAATATTATTTAAATATAGAAATATTGAAATTATTTTATTATTTAGATTAAGACAAATGGCGTCTACAAATAAACATTCCAATATCAAAAAACGGGAAAAAATATTATGAAAAATAATAAGGATTTTTCATTTCAATTTAAATTATAATATAGTTGTCATTTGTTTTAATATATATACAAAATATTTTTGGATAAATAAAAATGTTGAAGAACGATTTTATTAATTATATTTACTAATAATACATTTAAATTTTATTTAACTGTAAAACATATATTCTATACTTAATATCAGTATTATAAATATAAATAAAAGTAATTTTGATGAAAAAAATTTCAAATAAAATAATTAATGCATTATTGTATAATCATATTATTGATAATATGAATAAGAAAACACTTCTTTTACTGGCAACGAAATTCTTACTTATTTGTATTATTTAATATAAATATATATACATTTTTTTTTATTTAAAGAGAGAGAAGTAGATATAGATAGATAGATAGATGAGAGAGAGAGAGAGAGAGAGAGAGAGAGAGAGAGAGAGAACCGATTATAGTAACATTTAATTCACAAAATGAGTTTCCTATAAATTATCATTATATATGAACAAATTATTAATAATTTATTAATAATTTATTAATAAAATATTTTTATTAATTGATTTTTTAACTACTTATCCTGTAAATAATCATATGTTTATAAGGTAAAATAAATTTTATTATTGACACTAAAAATGTAAAAAATTTATCAAATTTTAACAAATATTTTGTAAAAGATATTTTTTTATATTGCACTTTATACATATATTTTATAGTTATATAAACAGAATTAATTTTTTCATGTTTATAATTTCTTTTTACATGCCAGCTTATATGAACAAAAAATACATTTATAAAATCAAATATACAAACTTAAATTGTATAGTAATAAAATTCATTGGTTTGTGGCTATTCAGTCTTTATAATATATTAAAAATTACATTAATATTATATGAATCATGAAATATGTCTTGTTTTATATTTTTTTTAATAAACTATAAGATTATTCATGCGTTAAAATTTCCTCATTATTTACATTATAATAAAAATAAGAATATTAAACAACAAATTATTAATACGGAATATAAAATGAAAATACTTATTAAATATTTTAATTTGTGATGATTTTGAGTATTATGATGTTAAGTATCTATACAACTTATATATACATGAAATATGGAAAAATTATTTAAACTATAATACTTTGCCTTTGATTTGTTATGTTTGAAATTGGGTAACAAGTAGCTTTGTTGCTTTGGCAATATCATAAACACATGAACGTACTTGTTGGAGGCATCTATCCATATGTTCTGTATCACTAGTACATCTTTGAAGACCAGAACATTCTGCTTGAAGTCTACCTGTATTACCATTTAATTGTCTTAGAGCAGATCTGACGTTTTCCTCAATAGGATTCTATAATATAATTTAAATATTTTTATATAAACTTTTATTTATATTTAAACAAAAAATGCATATCTTACTTGAGGAAATATAGCTGTAAGTTCAGCAACAGCAACACGAATTCTTTCTGCACAAGGTACAAAAGCTTCTCTTTGTTTTGGATCTTGCATGGCCATCCATAATTCCCGAATTCTTTTTGTAACTTGTTCAGTTCTTCTAGTAACTTCTTCGCTAGAAGGAAGATTAGGAGCTCCATAGTCCCATAGACTTTGTGTATTGCCACGAGACACTGTCTCTGAATCGCGTTTTGACTATATTTTATATTTATAAATAAAAATATTAAATAAATCTTATAAAATAAAATTTATAATTATAAACCAAAGATTTTATTATGTTAATACCTGGCAAATAGATGTTGACCATGAATTTGGTTTTCGTAGACCTTCTCTTGTTTCATACATAGATGCAGGTCGTTGGTTAGTTCGACTAAGAGATGTTTTTATATCAAGTACTGGTTCTAATTCTGGTTCTTGTTCTCCAGTAACATGACCATTAATAACCACATCAGTAGATCCTTTTAACTGTATTTTTTATATGTTTTAGATTTCAATTTATAATATATTATAATAATATTAAATATTTATCTTACATGAATCATTTGTTTTAATTCATTATTTTCATGTGTCAATTGTTCTATAGTATTTTGTAATGTAGAAATCTGTTCACGGAGGTCCCTGACAGTAGATTCAGAGAGAGTTAATTGTTTTTTCAAAACTTCTACAACAGATGGAAGCCCCTTGGCTAATGGAGCAAAGGCTTCCTGCAATATCATTTTAATGATGAATTTTATTTTTGTAAAAAAAAAAAAAAAATAAAAAATCATTAATCACTCTATTTGGTTGTTATAAAATAAAACATCAATATTTATGTTATAAATTTTAGTGAATTATATTATATTATAAAAGGTGCATAAGCACCTCTTTGGCTGCACATGCACTAACAGACCTGTGCACTTGCCTAATAACACTGTCTATAGAAGAGCCATGTACTTAGCTGATTCCTTATGCTCCTTTTCATTATTAGAACTGGTACCTTTAATATGTTACCACTTTATCTATTTCTTAAATATAATAAATTGTCCATTTTTTTTTATATTTCATGTCATAATTTCTGTATTTATACCATCTTCTTTAATTTATTTTTAAGCAGTTTAATACCTACTTCATTATCCATTTTAAATTGTGTTGAATATTCAGGCATTGTATTGTCAGCCGATGTCAATGCATAATCATCATCAGAAGCTACACTATCATACAAAGGTTCATCATCAGACATTTGTGATCCATATTTTCCATGTTGTTCTTTACGAAGTATAGAAATAGCTGGATCTATAAATATTATATATATTGACATAATGATAAATTATAAAAAATATATAATCTGAATAATTTTATATAAACCTTGTAAAGGTGCATTATTTGCAAGCATATGTCTTCTGCGAGCTTCAATAAGAATATCTATAATAAGTGTAGCAAATTCCTTTGGTGTAAATCTTGCTAATTTTTGTCTACCTTGGTTTCTTGTGGATGATAATTGTGGATTAACTGGTAGAAAAGGTACAGTACATTTTTCTGGTAAAGATGCAGTTCCAAACCAAACTATTTAAAAAATATAAAATAAAAATAATTAATATTTCTATTCATCAAATAAGTAAAATATAATATTCACAATAGATTATTTAAAAATCACAATAGTTTATTATTTAAAAATCATATATTTAAATTAATCATAATGTAATTTAAAGTTAAAAACTATTGAAAAATCGAAATTTTTAAATTCAACTTACCTTTCCTTTAAAATGATGCAATAAAAAAAGCATGCATATTAATAACATTATAGATAAACTAGAAATTAATATAATATAATATATACATATAATGTTTTATATATGTATATAATATAAATATACATATAACATATTAATATTTATAAAAAATTATTTAATAGTATACATTACAGAAAAATATATACTCAATTAAAAAAATATGAATATTACAAAATTATTTTTATACTAATCTATTCATTTCTTAAAATCACTATTTATATAAAGCAATTATATTTATATTTATATTTATATATTATTTATTCTTACTTTCTTCATTTTCTCTTCGATCTACTTCATCATAAACATCCATTGCCAATTCTTCCAATAAATGATTTGATAACTAAAGAAAAAAAGATTTATATATTTATAGTTCATATTTATATAAAATTTTTACTTATATGTATGAATATATTTATATATATATATATATAATATATTTATAATATATATAATTATAATATATATATACATACCATTTGTAATTTATTTCTTCCTTCTAAGCACAAATCACTTTGTTCCAATAATAGTGTACATTCAGGAATAATAATATGTTCGTCCACTTTATGATTTGGTTTACGTAAACATATAAAATATGTCAGTCTATCTGTTACTTCATACATACATTCAATTAAACGATCAGATAAATCTATATGTCCTGCCATTCTAAACAAAAGTTTAGCTGTCATATCTAAATAATGTTTTTTTTTATTGTATCAATAAAATAATATTTTCTCTCTTGTTACATACTTAGCAATTTCAGCAGGTGTTTGTCCATTTGAATCAACCATATTAGGATTACCACCATTAGCTATTAAAAGTTCTAATTGTAAAGCTTGACCTGCTCTAGCAGCTACATGTAAAGGTGTTGTACCTTTTTCCTATAATATTATATATTTCATCAAATATTTTTATTATATAATTAAATATATTTTATTATATTTATAATATTTATAATATTTATTATATTTTTATATTTATAATATATTTTATTATATAATTAAATTATAATTTTTTTTTCAGAATTACCTTATAAAAATAACTTGGATTAGCACCTTGTGCAAGTAATCTTAAAGAAGTTTCTAAATTACTTGTACGAACACTACTGTGCAACTGCCTACTTAATTCTTCTTCACTACAACATTCTTCCTTACTTGGATGTAATATGAATGCTAAATGTTGATGTTTTGCTTTAATAAAATCAGCTTTTATTGGACTATAAAAATAATTAAATTATATTTTTAATTTAATCATTAAAAATTATATATTATTTTACAAAAATGATTATACTAACTGTAATGGATCTTTAGCTTGTGGCTTTCTCCTATTAATTTTTGAATTACTAGGATCTAAAAGGGAATGTTCCCAAATACTGTTTGCTCCATTATCATTTAATGTATGCACCATCTATAAGATATTATTCATTATTTTTTAAATTATAAATTTTACATAATTTTAATAATAACTTTTACTAACATTAAGTAAATTTGTATGCCAAATGCTCTTATGAAGAGATTTTATTTGAGATATATGACGACCAAGGCTACGATGTATACCACAACAATCATCACATAATAAAATTGCTCTATTTAATGAAGCCCATCCTGGTTCTAAAAATAATTTATATAAAAATATTTATTTTTATATAAATTTCCAAATAAATTATTATTAACAAATTAACTATTAATTAATAAATATAATAAAATAACAAATTAATAATTTTTTTTCTAAATATTTTAATTATAAAAAATACAATAATTGTATAAAAATTATGATTAAAATATAATTTTTTTCTAATTTATATAATATATATATATATATATATCACTAATATAAATAAGTAAATAACATTAACCTTCATTAAGTAATTTAGTTAGTTTTAATCAATTAAAGAACAATTTTTTATCGACATAAGATTATGAAATATTGGTAAAAAATTAAAAAAATTTAATAAAACTTATGTATTAAATAAATCATTAAAAGAAAAGAATGCATTTACCAAAGGCTCCGCAGTCAGCGCATATATCCGTATTAACTCTATGCTTCGGCCGAGCCATTCTCTTTACATTTATTTCACTAAAATATGAGAGTTGAATTTGTTATAAGAAGTTTAAGAGACATAACATAATGCACAAATTGTTTTAAAAATAATATAAAGAAGTAATTTAGAAATAAGAACTCCTAGTTTAAACGTCATTATACAGTTAATGATTTCACTGTGACAGAAACCATCCCTAGTAAGCTTATGTGAGAATAGTTGTACCATTGATTGAGTATGCTAAAAGATACGCAATCATACGATTTATTTTAACTTACATTATTTTATTCTAACCTATCTTAATTACATTTTACATTAAAAATATTTTGATAATTTTATTATAAATATGTTTATATATTTATATGTTTTTGATAAAAAATTAATATTACTATATATATTAATATTTTATATATTAGAAGAAATAATATTCTCAATTTGTAAAAATTAAATTATAATTAATTAAAAATTCAAAGTTGGTATTTTATTAAGTACAAATAAATATAAATTCATAAAAGTATATATTAATTTTTATTCAATAAAAAAAAATATATATATATATGTACACATATTAAGCTCAAATTTAAAGCTTAAGAATACACATTATTAATATACATAAATAAAAATATTAAATATATTATGCAATGAAATTGTACAATAATATAATTATATAGGTTCTATAATTAATGGTATACTTTGTATATGTATATATAGTATTGTTAATAATATTTTACATTAATATTCATATAGGATTTGTACTCACATTAAAATAAATTATAAATTAACTGGATATTTTTACAATGTTTCATTATAATTATTAATTATATAATTAATTCATTATAATTATTAAAAAAAATTCATAATTAAGAATCTGGTGATTCAGAGTATAAAGTATGAAGATCTGTAAGCAATTTATTTGATATATATGTTACATTGAGAACAGATTTATCTACATCATCCATCTGACATAAAGATTTAAATTTTTTACCATCTGGAGTTTCTAAGAAATTTATACTTGACTTTAAAGCCATATATTCTCTAAATGATCGTTTTTGTTTATACTTTGTAATTATAGGAGTATTTGATTGAATTGAATAATCATGAATAGGTTTTGCATGCATAATATTAAGTTGATTTTCTAATTCTAGAAAACTTCTGTCTGTTTCAATATCAGATCTTATATTCCAATCTTTATTTTCTTTATTTTCATCATTTTGAATTGAATTATTTTTATTTGAAAACTCTGTAATTTGTGAAATATGTAAAATAGGTGTTCTCAATTGTTCTTCTGCATATTGAATTGATTTACAACAAGTTTTTAATTCAATTTCTTTATTTGTCACAGTATTTTTTTCTTTTAATTCAATGTTGGAAAGTGTAATCTCTTTATCATTTGTACATAATAATCTTGTGACAAATGCTAATGTTGATTTTAACTTATTCACATTTTCTTCTGTTTCTTCTAATGTTGATTTTAATTTAATCATATTTTTTTCTGTTTTTTTTAATAAATCTTTTAATTCACACTCTAAATGAATAATTTTGTTTTTATTTATACAGATTATCTCAGATGATTCATATTCCACATTCATATTAGTTTCAGAAGCCAATAATTTTGTATCCTGAATATAATTACACAAATTTTGAATACAATCTTTTTTTAAAGGAGATTTTATGGATATATTATATTTTGAAACATTTTTGTTTGGACTCATAGAATTTTTTTTGGATTCATTATTATTTGTTATTATTTGTTGAGAAGACTCATAATTAGAAAAAATTGGAGACTTTGGAGTAACAAGTAATGTTTCATGTTGTTGGGCATTTATATCATTAACTTTTGATCTTGAATAATCAGAAAATTGAATATTTTTCTCTTCATTTACTTGTCCATTATTAATAAAATTAATATTGATGTTCGAGGAATCACTTATGATTTTATTTTTAACTGCAAGATCATCACTTACTTCATTTGTTTTTTTTAATGTTTTAATTTTTTTTGAATTCTTATTTATTTTCTCAGAATAGTTTTGTATGAATTTATCTTTTATAGTATTTGGTGGAATTAATGAACTTTTTCTTACTGGTTTAGAAATTTTTTTATGAAACTGTTCATTAATTACAATTTTATTTAATTGATTTTTATTTTCATTGTTGTCTTTTGTGTTTGTAGAAATTGCACTAAAATTAAGAATTCTACGTGCACTTTTCTTAGAAGACTGAATACAAGTACTTGTTTCTAATAATAATAAAATTATATATTAATCTATTGAAAAATATTTAAATAAATATAACTTTATACTAACCACTTTGTTCTTTATTTATTCCTGAATATTTTTTATTTGATAATGTTCCCAATCTTTCAGGTTGTGCTCTTTTACGTACTAAAATATATATTCATTTTTATGAATATTTATATCATTTGCATAAAAAAAATTAAAAATTACTAATAAATATATATATTTACCACTGTCTTTCTGAATAGTTTTTAAATTTTCAGATTGTCCAAGTAATTGTGCAATTTTAATTGGTTGAGGTCTTTTATAATCTATAAAATAAAAAAAACATTTAATTATTATTGATTATAATCAGAAACAAAACAAGAGAAACAAAAAAAGAGAAATTAAATAAAAAATTTATTGAAATTACCCGTTTTATTTGTCAATAATTTTGAACATGTTGAATATTCTGTCATTCTAATTAACTGTTGTTTATCTTTAGATTTACCCTAAAAAAGTATAAATATGAAGATATTTATAGATGAATTACATATTAAAAATTTTTATACTCACAGTTGAATTAGATTTAACAAACATTATTTTTATTTTTTAATTAAATGACATAATTTCCACAATATTTCACATCATAAATTTCTATTTTAAATTATTTTTTATTTTATTAATCACTATAATGTACGATAATAATAAAATATTTTTTAATAATTAAATTATAAATATAAATAACATTTAAATGTAAAGATAATATATAAAGAAATTCAAATTTCTTCTAATTTAACGGATTATAATCATAAAATATAACGATGAATAGATCTGTAAACGACAAACTAAATTTCAGTTATATAAAATGGTGCATTTACATTGCATAAATATATGATATACCAATGAAAAGAGTGAACTTACATTCCATATACCGCGCGTTTAGTTTGTGATTCTAAATGTACAAGTTACAAATATGAGTTAAACATTAGTAATGATAATTTCGGTGGACATTTATATATATATAATATTTATTGCGTGATTTATTATCTATTACGAACAAGTGCTATACAAAATGTAAAAAGTTTTGCGCAGATTTCTTATCTATAGTTAGCTATTCCCCAAAGTCACATCTATCGGCCATTTTGTTAAATTTATTTCTAAACGTATCCCCTCCAAATTGAAAACAACCGAAGGTTGACGCTGTTCTCGATCTCGATAAAGTATTTTTGGTTAGGTTAATAGCTGTATAGAGGATATTTAACAGTAAGTAAATTATTATGATTGCATCTATTTCTATTAATATTGAATTGAGGTAAAAAATTTCTATGCGTTCATGAAGAAGTACCACTTTAATACAGTTCGTAATGTGTAATTGGATGGAAGGAGGCTTGGAATAAAGAGAGGCTATGGCTACTGCTTTGATCATATGTAAAATACTGTTACCCGATCGGCCACCCTTTGTTTTTCATTACTGGTTTATTTGGCACTTCTTTCAGTTGGTTCATTTGTGTAAAACAATTTTCTATTTCGAAATACTTCTTATAACCTCTAAAGTCATAACCTATATAATATAACCTTAGATGTCAACATATTAAATATTCGTTGTTTAAAAAATTTAGTGGAAATGTTCTTAGAAAGTTTTAAAGTCATAATTGACAAACAATTTTAAATTTCTGTAATGTATGTCATCTAAGTTAGTTTTATATGCAATTTTCTTCAATATTTCATCTTATGTTATCAATATTGTATTTTATTAAATAGGCCTAATTTATTATTATTAAAAAATTTATAGAAACAAATTTTTTATTACAAATTTATATGTATATATAATTAATAAGTAAAACTAATTATTTTCTTATTATAATAATATATACAATTTTTTAATTCATATTATTTTGATTTTATTTGAAAATTAAATAAATAATTATATACAGAAAAATTTTATTTTTTAGATTAAAATTATATTTAATTAATAATTTGAAATTTAATTTTATAAATGTAATTGAATTAATTATATTAATTTTGATTAACTTTGCATAATGAATTTTTTATTTATGTATATATATATTAACTTAACATCCTTTTTTCCTTTATATGATTATGCTATTATAAATATGCATTTAATAATATTTATCTAAAAATAAATGAAAATTAAAGTAAAAAATTAAACAGATAAAATAATTATTATAATAATTAAAATCAAAATAATTCTTATGTTTCAGTGATTTCAGTGATCAAATAATTTTATTTTATAACAAAATGGATGTTGCTGGAGATTTGACATTACAATGGGTGGAGGAGGTGGGAAATGTCATTCACGAAGAAGTAATATATGGTTTAGAGGCACAGCTTGTTGGAGCAGAAGAAGAAGTAATAGGGGCTTGCGAAGAAGTTGCAATAGAGGAAACAGTAGAATCAGTTCCCAATGTAACTTCTACAACAGAATCAGAAATACTAATGGTACCACAATCGAACGATATGGAATCTATTTATATAGTTCCACAAGATCAAGGTCATGACTATCTCAATATACAGGTTACAGAGGAAGTAATTGCAGATAATTGGGATAGATCTGGTCCAGAAGATGGGTAAGTTTAAATAAAATATTTTTTTAAATTTTAAATTAAATTTGATAAAATGAATGATTAATACATTTATATTTTGAAGGGTTGAAATACCTGAAACAAAAGTGTCCCATGAAAATCTGCTTGAATATGATGACATGGAAATACCATTGCCAATTGATCAAGATTCTTATACAAATAGTAGACCTTATCCATGTGACTTTTGTAGCAGAAGGTTTAGAAAAAAAGCAAATTTAATGAATCATATGGTAGCACATCAGACAGATCGTCCTCATGGTTGTAATTTATGTGGAGCACGTTATGCAAGAAAATGTGATCTTATGAATCATTTAAAGATTCACGCATATGCACCATCTAGAGATGGTTTAGAGGATGACTTAAATGATGATGATTCATTAATACCAGAGGAAGAAGAAACTACTAAAGGTAGACGTAAAAAAGTTCAATCAAGTGTACCTAGAAAACGTAAAAATAATTCTGCTATTTCTAAACGCAATATGGAAGATAGTAAGATGGAAATGGGCAAATATGTCAATAAGTCTTATGATTATGTTGACGAGGATATGCGTCTTTTGGAAGAAATGACTAGTAGAAATTCTGCACGCAGTGGTAATTATGCTTCAAGCTCAAGATGGACTGAACAAATGTCACCTGTATCAACTGAACCTCAAGCACCACGTTGGCCTATAACTGATCCAACAAAACCATATGTGTGTCAATATTGTGGTGTTGGTTTTGCAAGAGAAAAAGCACTTGCATCTCATGCACGTATACATGGTGGTGATAGTCCATTTGAATGTACATCATGTGGTGATATGTTTTGGGATGTTAATAGTTTAAGAGAACATGTTCGTGTCAAACATGGTGGTACAGTACAATCTGATACAGAAGAATATGATAATGATGCTACATATACAGGAGATGAAAGATTTGGAGAATTCTATTGCAATACTTGTGGTGTTCCTTTTCACCGTTTGGACTTACTTAAACGTCATCAAAAGTAAGATAATTTTATAACAATAGAAAAAATATATTCATTTACTAAGATTGTTCTTAATGATTAAAATTCCATTTTGTTTATTTTCATTCTCCAATGATATTCAGAAAAATTTAAACAATATAATATTAATTTTAATTTTTAATTTAAACAATATAATATTAATTTTAATATTGGTTACATTAGGATTCATGTTAAACAAGAAACTGATATGGTGGAAGGTCCAAGTCAACATCATGTTTGCAATGTTTGTGGTGAATGGTTTGAAGAAGCTTTAGCATTATTAGCACATGCTGAACTTCATGCTAGGTATATATATGTTATAAAATAAGTAATAATTTAAAATTATTTTATAATTATAAAAATAAAGCTTTATGATAATTATTTTAAAAGTATTAAATATTTCGATAAATATTGATAAAAACATTATTTGATTATTCAGATCACCCAGTCGCCGATGCTTATTGTGCGGTGAAAGATGTCGTGATGATGCTGAAGTTGCTGAACATGTTCGGCAAAATCATGCTGAAGATGCTCCACCAAATACATGCACTCTTTGTGGAAAAACATGTAAAGACAAACGCAGTTTATTAAAGCATTCATGGGTTCATAATGTTGATAAAACTTTTGGATGTACAAAATGTGGTAAACGTTTTCATAGCAAAGCTAGATTACGAAGGTATTTATTACAATTTTTTTTATGTTATTTGTTAATCAGTTTTTTAATTATTGTGTAATTTTATTTAGACACATGGTATCACATCGCAATAAAATGGTAGCTTGTGATGAATGTGGAGAAGAATTTCCTAATGGTAGAGCTCTTGTTAGTCATCGTCATTCACATAATAAAGATTTAGGTGGTCGTTCTTTTCCATGTCGAGAATGTGGTAAAACATTCGGAAGTCGTAGTTCACAACAAATTCATATTCGTATTCACACTGGAGAAAGACCATATGGTTGTAGATTTTGTTGGAAAGCATTTGCTGATGGCGGTACTTTAAGAAAACATGAACGTATTCATACAGGAGAAAAACCATATGGATGTGCAATTTGTCCACGTGCTTTTAATCAAAGAGTAAGATATTTTAATTAAAATATAGTTCGATTGTTCCATTATATTTTAATGCATATTTTTTTTTAATTATTATTATTTTAGGTTGTTCTTAGAGAACATGTTCGAGCTCATCACTCAGGTTCTGATCCAGGACGTGTAGGTAGTCTTACTCCATATTTATGTAAAGTATGTGGTGATACATACGCAACATCAGAAGAAATAGTTGCTCATATTGTGCAACATTGTGATGATAATACTGCATTAAAACGTCAACCGCAAACAGGACCACGAAAATATAAAAGGAGACGTAAATTAAAACCCCATGAAACCAACACAATGTTGCGTATGACTGAGCAATATGATATGATAGAAGGAGCTTCTGATTCAGATGACAATACTAAAAGAAAACTTGGAAGAAAAAATAAACAACATCGGTCGAATGTTGAAGAAGGTTATCAGAACGTTCTTAAGAGCTTTGAGAGTTCTTTACAAAATATAAATTCAATTGTTAGTAATTCGAAATTAAATCCTGGAAAATCCAAACTTTCTAAGAAAAAGCTTAGAAAAGAAGAAAAAAAGAATGAAGCTGAAGCTTCATGTCAACCTGGTAGACCAAAAATGATTCACACCCAAAAAACAAGAGTGCCTGTTGAAATTGGTAGTGATGGAGTAAAAAAAGGACAGAAAACGAAAACAATGGTAACAAGGACTCCTAAAATGATGCCACAAGAACATAAACTAGGTATTTTTCCTGGTGGGGAAAGAAATAGACCAAGAACAAAAAACGTTAGTTATCATATTGAAGGGAAACTTCAACCAACACCTGCAACATTCCCAAAACCAAAGGAAGAACCTCCAACATCTTTAACACCAGCACATCGTCAATCACCATTAACTAATATAAAAATAGAACCTAATTTACAAAAAACGCCGAATAACAATCACAGAAATAATAATGGTAATATTCTTGCTATTAATAATGAAAAAATGGAATCAACACCTAGAAAAAGATCAGGTGTTTTGAAAAAAATTAAAAAACAGAAAGATGAAATTAAACAAGAACCAATGGATATTGATCATGAAGAAATACAAAATAATAATAATACAGAAAATACGGATTCGACGAGATTAATGGATCATACAGTAGATGGAAGTAACTTAGAAGTTGCATTTGAAGCAAGTGTTACAACCGAAGAAGAAAATATACTTCCCGATGTAGGTGAAGTAAATAATACCGAAGATGTAGGAACTGGGAATGTAAAACTTAGTGTAAAAGTTGAATCGACATCTCAACGAATGTTGGCTGTTCATACCGTTATAGCACCTGTAGATGATATTCCAGAAACTATAGTACCAGATGCTGTAGAATATACATGCGAAATGTGTTCCGCAGTATTTTCCAGTCGAGCAGAATTATTGGTCCATGTTCCAATACACATTTGATTTAATTTGTTTAATGAAATTAAAGGAGGTATGCAAATTTGTTCTATTTTAAAAATATTTGTTTAATTAAGCAATATTTTAACATGGTCAATGAAAGTTTATCTGTTTATTTGAATTGACATTATGTTATTATGCCAAATTGTCCTCTACTCGTTGCTCTATGAAGTGTACCAGATTTTTGTGTTTAACATATATTTTAAAAGTTGATGCTGTCTTTAGTTTATTATATCATTCTAAGGTATATAGAAATTTTCAAACATATTTGTTTTTGTTTATCATTATTATTATATCCTTTTTATACTATTCGTGTTTCTCTTAAACTAAAAAATAGTACATAATATAATAAAATTTGGCTCAAAATTCATATTGAATCATGATACAATGAGTAATGTTACAAATATTTTATATGTTTACAATTTATGAAGTCAGTTACTTTGGTCAAAGAATTGAAATCTTAGACCATTTTTTTGCCATCCACAATTTTATACTAAAATTTAACAAAAAATGAAATAATGGCACGTTGTGTACATAAAATACTAAGATATTCTAAATATTAATGCGAGTGTGTTTTATAATATTACTCGTTTATATAAATTAAATTTACTCTGTACGTTTGCTTTTAGCTTCTAAGTAATTAGATATATGATAGCCAATGCATTGAAGTACTATGATAAACAATTTGTATTATTAACCCAGATTGTTTTTCCTATATTTTTTACTTATAACAATATTTACAAAAATCAACAATACATTTGAAAAATATTGATTGATTTATAATTAAAAAAAAAAAAATTAAACTTTTAAATTTGCCTTAAATCAAATAATTGTAAAGTAGTAATAATACACATTGCATATGTTGCATAGGAAACATTTATAAAAATTAATTTCGTATTCTGGAGCATTTTGTGATACAAGGAACACGAATGCATTGTTATTGTTACAATAGTATTCATAATATAATAAAATATGCTTATTATTATAGTATACTTCGTTTGCACTAACATATCTCAATAGTTTTTATAAAATTTGGTATTATATTTGATTGTATGAAATATGTGTAGAATTTTATGAGAAATGAAGCATTAAAACTTAAATTATGAATTTCAAAATTATTTTATTTTAAGCATTATTATGCACAATCAGATCTGATTTTAATTTTAAAAAAATGATCTTCAAAGCATATCTTTGTTTATTTGTATTACATGTTGAAAATACATGTTTCACTGGATGTAATATATCCATCATTGTATATTACTTATAACTGATGAGTGCTATTGTAGTATTACATCAAAGAATATTATGAAGTAAAGAGCAGAATTATATTTTATTTTAGATAATATAAATTCATGTATTATATAAGCTCATAAAAGTTTAATGTTACAGAGTAAAAATTTGAGTATTAAATATACTGTATATACTTTCATACAAATATTTTAGATATATTGACAAGTTTTTTTTATCTTTGCATCTTTATTTCATAACAATAAATAATTACAAATATTAAACATCATTTCTAATTACTAGTAAAAGATTTCATAATTTTATTTATTTTCAAAAAAATATTTGAATTAATTTTTAACTTATCATATTTATTTCTTATCTCTTCATTTAAATATCGCAAATATAATTTTTATTAATAAGAACATTATAAATTCCATTATAAAAAATTGCATTAAATTAGATTTAAAATTATTTTATATAAAATGTTGATGTTTACTAAATTTCATGTTAAAAATATTCAAGTTTTTTTTTATTACTTTGCTGATATTCTATATTTTACAAATTAATATTTAATATTATGTTAAATTATAATAAAAGAACTAATTAATGTTTCAAATTGTTTAACATTTTCAAAATCATTTAATTGAATATTATTATTAATTTTAAAATTACTTAAAATATAGTTATACTTTCTTGTATAATGTAATGCATTAATTTTATTATAATTTTATTATATTTAATATAAAATATTATAGTACCTTTATAGTATTTTTCTTACCTTTGAGAAGACGTGTATATATATATTCCAAAGTTAAATTAGTAGTATTTCAATGGCATTATATATGAGGCAATCAATCAAAAACAGTATGTGCTCTATTTTTATAAATAAGAAATATTTTGAATATATATAATGAAGAATATAATGAAAATTCTATTTGTAACATTTTGCAAGAAATGAGTGTGTATATATATATATATATATATATACACACATATACATACATATATATATATATATATATATATATATATTGTTATTATTTAATATTTTTATGTTTCTCTAGGAATGGCACACAATGCCCATTATTCATTTGTTTCTATATTTTTATAGATAACATATTTACTTAAATTATACTAAAAAGTTTCATAAAATAAATTAAAAAATATTGGTAATCTAATTTAAAAATAAGAAGAATATTTTTGGAGAAGCATCAAAAAAGATATATTCAAATAATACAAATTAAGTTTAATAATTCTTAGGACAGCATCATATTTTGTATGTTGTATACATACATAATGATTTATTTCTTTAGTAATATACATATATAATGTATTTATGCTACAATGCTAAAGAAATATTTACAATTATACTGATTTAAAATTATTTAAATTAACAGAATACAAATCAGAGTTTGTATAGACTCAAAATTAATATAAGATATTTAGAAACAGAAAAATTTATATATGACCAATGTAAAGTTATAACTTTTGGATAAGGAATATGTAAATATATATTTACATAAGAAACATCAGAAACTAACAAAAATTGGTATATTATGTATAAATGATTTTTATTTCAACATTTACACACATTTACATTCCTGTTTAACAGTAGCTTTAATATTATTTAAGCGTATCTTAAAAAATATGAAAATTTATTTAATTAACGCGTGCATAGAGCAGCTAGTGCAGGTGGCAATAAATGCAAAAATGCAAATTGGACAAAATTTAGGAAAACAAAATGTTTAAAAAGAAGTACAGACAAGAACACGTACACAAATTTTTCGTTTTTTCAACTACAAGAAGATTGATTGCATGTAAGTATCCGTGGCTTCTTTCTAATGATAATTAATCTAAAATAATTAGTGTAGCATATGATACTATGTTGCATGATAACATTTTAAACAGTTACTAAAGAATTCTTATATGTATTACTTCAGTTATAAACTAAGTAAGCTCTAAGAATATGTATAGATTTATAAGCTCTAAATTAGCATTTTCTCGATAGAATTGTTTGTATCTAGCAGGGATAAAATAGCTAAGAAAAAAAAGTGTACATACTATTATCTTGGATATGGTATGGTGATTTATTGTTAATCGTAGATATATATTTTTTTTTTAATAAACCGCGTTAACAATTATAAAGGTACAGTTAATTACGTCCGCACAAAGTCACGGATAATTCGAAGTACATATAATAACGATGTGTGTACAATTGTAAATATGTATTCATTTGTATACTTTAAAAATTGTGTCATTTCTATCTCATGATAAATTTTAGAAAAGAATATAGATTATAATTATAAATATATAATCAGTTTGTTGAGTTAACTATTAAATACTTGATACTTTTATTTTTAGTTTGAATGAAAATTTATGTAAGGTATATAAATTCATGCGGTTAAAAAATTATGTAAATGAATGGTAGTTTTCATATAATTCAATATTATATTGTATAAAGTCTTGAAACTTTATATTATAAAAATCATAATAGTAGTATAATAACGTTTTCACCATTCATAAAAATATGTATATTATCTATGTTTATGCAGGTAAATAATTTAAGATACTGTATCTTTGATTAGGGAATAAAATCACAAACATTATAAATTTCTTTCTCAAATCCCATACATATAACAGAGATTATGATTAAAAATGCTCCAATAATACTAGTTGATGTAGGTTGATCTCCAAAAAAATATATTTGTACAATATAAGCCAAAATAATATCTAAAGATCTAGTCACTGATACTTTTCCAGCACCTTCTATTTTTAATGCATTAGTCACTAAAATTTGACCTGATAATCCAGTTAGTGCTATTAACAATATTTTACTCCAAGTAATCCAATCATGTGGAAATTTTGATTTTTGTTCTTGATTATCTGATACAAGAAAGAAAAAAAATATTGCTGTAACAAGTGACCACCAAGATAGATTAAAGATAATTGCTGAGTAATGAATTTCTGAACATTTTCTCATAATAACTATATTAAGAGCTGTAAAAAAAGTTGCTAAAATAGCACACACATATCCCATCACATTGTATGATTCAGCTCTATGTATCTAAAGAAAGAAATATTTTATGTCAAATTGTTGATTTATAGAAATTTTATAAAATATTATTCTTTATATACTTTTACCTGAAATAAAAAAGGTGGTTTAGATACAAAAATAACTCCCGCAAAAAGTGCACACATAACTATTACGCGCAATATTCCACAAGGTTCTTTTAATAAAATGAAAGATAATACAATTACAATCACTGGAGAACTAAATATAATTGTTGTAGCATCTCCTATTGGTAATTTGCGAAAACTATAATATAACAATGATAATGTTGCACCACCTACTATTCCCTGAGAAAAAAGATAAAATACTTTATCAGATTATTTTTGTTTATTAATATATGAAATATAAATCTTATTAACTTATTCATAATTAACGTACTTGTAAATGTAAAAGCATTCTTTGTCCTTTGGGTCCAAAAAGATTTTTAGAAACTTTAAATGCTACAACAGTCATAACTATCATTTGTAAAACAGATCTGATAGTCAGCAATACCATAGGATGTACATTTTGTACTGCTTTGACTAAGGCAGAACTAATTGTAAAAAATGTACCTGATAAAAATGCCAAAAATATTCCAAACCATTTAGTACCCTCTTGATACGTTTCAGCATTATTAGCAAATTGTTCTGTGTAATGGTATGCTGGATGTATACTATTATAAGAAGCAGTGGATTCAATGCTGAACTTCATTATTGGGCTACTTTAAAACTATGATCCGTGATACAATACTGAATGAGACTTTTGCTGTATACTACCGTCTATCACTAATACATCTGCTGTTTGATAGAATTAATATACAGCTTTGCATATCAAACAGTTTACGAGAGATTAATACTGGTAGGAAGATTTGGAAAATGTAACGATTGGATTGAGATTCTGAATGTTAAAGTAAAAAATGTTAATTATAAGATCAAATTTGTTAAAATGACGTTATTCGTTTTAATTTTACTCGAAAGAAACTTTTTAATTAATGTATTTATTATTTAACTTTTTAATTAATAATAATATAACTGGAATAAGTTTATTATTTTAATTTCATATAAGTAATCGGGATTTTTAGATCTTTTGTTAAATGAATTGTATATTAAGTATATTATGATATTTATGCAATTAATAGATTCGTTTATTTACTTCAATTTTTCCTTATAATTATTTTTGAATTAAAGTAATATTATAATTTTGTTATTAAAATTAATATAATTTATCTTATTCAATTATAAAAGAAATATATTTATAAGTTTATTACAATATTATAATTATTTATGCATAACTTTTGTTTGAATATTACAAATATTGAATATTATAAGAATGTACATATAACAATGTAATTAGTCCTTTCCAAATTCTATACCAGTTAGTGGTTTATCTATACGATAAAGTGTAGTACCTAAATTGAAATATCCCAAATATTCTATAGTTTCTGGAGTTATATCAATATGATAATGGCCACCTTCTCCATGATGAGAAAAACTGTGAAAATGTTGAACACGAAGATCTAAATCCTAAAATTATAAACAATGAAATGGAACAATGTTATGGAACAATACATATAACAATGTATAATAGGATAGACTAAAGACAATTTCAAATTATTTTTTATCAATACAGTTTAAACGTTTTCCTACAATTATAAAATATCTAATTTCATATGATTTTACTTACACTTTCAGAACTAACAAATGTACCAACAGCTATTAAAGGTGTTGACATGTTATAAAAGTGTAACCAATTATTAAGTTGTGCTTCAGTACGTAATGGAGTTACTGAGAAATCTGGCATAACATGCTGTTTGACTTTTCCATTTTTTATTAAAAATGTTCCTCCTAATCCTATAGTTGAAAAAATGTTATACAAATATTTAATTGTATTTTTTGTTAGATATAATTATTAATCAAAAAAATTCTGCTTACCAACAAGATTATTGTGATAATTTTGAGCAATTGCTTTTTGCATACATGCAATAAAATCATCATTTCCAATACGTTTTTTAACATGAACTTTTAAAACTTTACCAGGTTTTCCTTCAGTGACAAATAAATTGGCTAACAAAGCAAATCTCGTTTCATTGTTAGGTAAATTTTGAAGTTCACAGTTTCCATTTGCTTTATTGACAGATGAAATATGAGTTCCATTTTGTACATTAGATAATGAAACAACCATATTCATTATAAGCTATAAAAATTTTATCTTATATTTTAATTACTAATCGAGATCTATATATAAATTTTGATTATTACCTCACAATTAGAATTTATGTATGGCCATGGACCAGCCCCTGCCCCAATAACAAAAGAATCTTCTTTATAATGTAAATGATTTAAGAGTTGTTGAATATCATATAATTTATTTTTTTGTACAGTAGGAAGAAGAAATGATGGACCACCAATTTCTAACAGTGTTGAATTACCACTTAATCCTAAATATTAAAATTCATATATTAATTTAAAATAATACAAAAAAAAAATTTTATATATAAAAAGTAATATAAAAAGTATATAAGTAATATAAAAAGTAATATAAAAAGTATATAATTTATTTTACCTGGAGCAGAAAGTGCGAATGGTTCTTGTGTTAAATCAGGGCAATCAACAATTTCTACTTCAACATTTGCATAATTTTTAATTAATCCTTCCTTTAACACTATTGCAAAAAGAAAAAAAAAGAATATATAAATATAATATTCTTAAAATTTTAAATTATATATTTTATTTAAAATTTACCATCTTTTATTTCATCAAGGGAAGGGACATGTAGATTTCTTTTTACTATGGTAAGTTCATTGATATTCAAAGTAGTCATATTTAATATATGAATATATGAAATTAACTGAAAATTTGTTTTTATATTATATATTAATAAAGATTTAAAATAATTCACAATTATACAAATATATAGTTCAAATATAGTTTATATAAGAACTATATTATTGAGAAATGGTAAAAGACAAAAACTTGAATATGTTGTCATCACAAGATTTGCTTTATCTAATCATGTGTTTGAGTATGACCTTATTTCGTAAGAGTTAATATCAGTTATGTTATTTTTAATTACAATAATTTTTATATAATCTCTATTTTATGTATTAATAGTTACATATATTACATATATATAATTCAAAATATTTTATTGCGCATTTTTTGCATTTTTATTAAGTTTTTAAATTTCCTTTAATTAAGGTTTATATATATTAATAAATTTAAATATTGATGAATCAAATAATTTAATATAAATTAATATATGTATATTATAAAATGTAGCAATGAAATAAAAATAATCAATTTACGAATTATTTTCTAAAGTTCTTAAACAATTTTATTATTGTATAAATTGTATAAATTCTAAAAAACAAAAAAATTAATATATTAATACATAATATTATATTAAGTAAAAATATAAAAAAAATTAAGAATATATTAATAAATAATAAAAATAATACAAATAAATAATAAAAATAATAAATGATTAAAATCAAAAAAATAAATTTTTAATTTTAGAATTCATAAAATAATTATATTCCTATGGAAAATTTTAAGTGCGAATAAGATAATAAGATAAATAAATACGTTTTATGAAAAAAAATTTCAAGTATGAGATATACATATATGATAATAAAATTTTCAATTGACGTCAGATACTTACTAGTTAGAAATTACTTATAGTTCTCTTCAGAGATGGCAACACGATGCACTTATATTCAAGTAATCAAATATACGCGCGCGTCAAACAATCTAAATAACTTTATAATCATTAATATTTTCAATGAAATTTGTTAATAAATTTGTTAATAATTATATTATCTTGCAAATAAATTTTTCTCTTTATACGTTTTGTTATAAACAAAAAAAAAATTATGCATTTTAGATACTTTTTAATAGTATTTCTTTAGCATGATTTTATATGTTTTATATATTTTATATGTTATATATATATATTAAATAAGTAAATATTTAATAATAATAATGAAATTTAAAATTTGAAAAACGATATATTTTTTATTTTCTATTATATCTATTATATGATATTCTTAACAAAATAAATTTGCAAGATAATTTGTAATGTAATTTGTTTTATGTCAAAATGATGCGATATGAAAAATTGAAAAGAGGGTTGGCATATGTCGATGTTCGGTAGGGTTGTGGATGCGCATTGGACAGCGAGAAATCTATCGCGAGTACTAGTCAACGTTCCTGGATCGTATCGTCAGTATGCGGTCGCGCATTCCATGCGAAAACACCTGTTTGTTGTTTTGATTTCTCTACCGTTTTTTCGGTCCTAAATCACGTTGAATATCACATATTTATTCATTTATCTAACGTCTAAAATAGAAAAAGAAACTTTTAATCATAATTATTAAATATTTTAAAAAAATAAATAGAAATATTAATTAAAGAAAATATTTATATTTAATATTCTTGAATTAAAGTAAGAAGGAAAAAAGGGGAAAAAAAAGAAAGAACAAGAAAAATATTTTGATTAAGAAATTTAAAAAAATAATTAAATATTAAGAAAAATAATTAAAATAAATATAATTAAATAAATGATTAATAGAATAAAAATTGAAATTATCGATTGAGATCGAAGAAAAAAAAGCATTGTTAAATGCATATTGGTATATCCGTGTGATAAACGAGAAATAAGAACAAAGATATTGTGGAGGAAGAAAACGAAACATAAACAGAGAGAAAGAGTGAAGGAGAAGAAGAGTTTTAACCGCGAGAGAGGAACGTCCTCGTGATTTCAACCACGTGTATCTCGTGGTCCTCGTTTAAACACGCGTAAGAGCAATTTTCTCTATTGACGTACGCCGGTTGTTCGTGGTTGTTCGTATTGACACTTTTGTCTCTTTGCAACGAATTTATTCGCGGATAGAAACCAGCATGCAATTTTTTTTTAATTTTTTTTTACATGCATCTTTTTTCAACATTAATGTAACCATTATTCTATCATTTTTTCTTTTTCTTTTTTTGTAGCATGCAATTAATTTAAATGTAATTGTTTAATTTCCAATTGGATTTTAGAAATTTACATATTATAGATCAAAATATTCCTTGTTAATGTTTATGAAACATTTTTCCTTACTTTTATCTATCTTGTAAAATTTCTTTCACGAAATTCTTTCATTATTTTGGTAAATTAATTACAAAAAAATCCAAATCATTTTTATCTATGTGATTCTAGACGATTTCTTGTTTCATTCTCTATAATAAAAAATAAAAAGCTGCAATAATTTTTTATTCCAAGATTGCAATTAATTCCAAAATGTAACTTAGTTACATTCGATTCGGATTGAAAATAATTCTGAATTCCTTTTAAGAATAATATAAATTTGAATCGATTATATCAAATTATTTGCTTTTTTTAATATTATATTATCAGGCACGGATAAAAATTTATTTAATACTTTTTTCGTCTAACGACTTTTCTTTAAAATATTATCATTAAAAAGAGGAAGAAAGAAAAATTGAAAAAAGGAAAAAAAAGAAGAAGAAGAAAAAGAAGAAAGGAGAACGAAAATTTTTTCCATTAATAACATTCAAAGGAAATGAATAATGACAATGATCGATCGATCAATTGTACTTGATATAGGCGAAAGAAAATCATTTGAACCCGAAATGAAAAAGGCGATGATCCGATAATGTTTAGTCGTAGTCACAGTAAGACAGGGATGTGCAACGTATGTATATACGTAAGATTGCAGCTCGTAGATTATTTGTAGTCGTTGCTATTGAGATGGTTTGATAGTAGCCCCTTCCCCGCGCATATCTTTATATCGAGACTGAATGGACAGAGAGAGCAGCCTCCTCTATGAGATAATACGCCTGGTTGTACCTAAGTCATTCAGGCCTGAAGTCGGATCCATCGAATCGCGAGAGATCGCGCGAGGTGAGGGTGGACACCGTAGGCCCCTGCAGTCATGCTCACCATACAAAACGAGTGAGTATATCGGTTTGCATGCGATTGGGTAGCCACACGATACTCTTCGGCTTCATCGATGCATCTGCGGATACTTGCCATTCCCGTGCTTTTTCATTTCCTCTAGCTTTCCAGAAATCACCGCCATGCCGATGCCTTTCCGCTTCGAGCTTTTGATCATGAGTTTCAGGAATCGTCCTTCAATTCACTGACAGCGATTATTAATCTTATACGTTCCAGGATTAAAACAAATATTTCATGATCTAAATCAGTTAGAAAGTTAACCCTCCTCGACGATTTCTCGATATATTTATTTTTCTATATTTCGTTAATTAATCTTTTCATTCGTTTAAGATAAACTTGAACGCTATCTATCTGTATATATTATATCCATTGATACGCGCTTTATGGAAATCTTGCTTTTATAATTTCGGGTTCTTTCCTCCTCCCCCTCCTCCCTCGACATCTTCTCACCAAAGAATAAAGCAGCGACGCTTGGCTTAATACATTCATCCACTCTTTAAACTTTCTTTCAGCGATGGAAGAATCATACTCTTTCACCTTCTTTGTTAATAGTTTCATGGCGATTATGCGGCTTATAGCAATTTTTTAAACGACGTACATAACGTATATACTTTATTAAACAATACATAGTATCGATTTTTTAATCTTCTTACAGATTTCCGAATTTTGGTCTATTCGTATTTTTAATATATTTTTATCGATCAGTTATTACGGATAGCGAATCTTTTCGTAAGAATGTTCTAAGGTTGTAAAAATATGTAAGAGAACGTACGTAAATCGTTTGAAGAGCTTTTTCCTTATATATATATATATATATATATATATATATATATATATGAAATCTGTGACACGATACACGCAATTACGAAGGTGCGGTTCCGGGTAGATGCCGTGACGTGGTTCCTCGGATCGACGTGGAGTCCCTTTGCAACGTGTGTAGCAACACGGCAATAAACCACTACAGTAGCGATGCATAATCTAATGGCGGGTTGCCTCCTGCGATAAGTATGGGACAGCTTGCTTCGTACCTCTCTGCGGTTCATTAATTGCAGCTTGCTCTCTCGACTAGCGTGCTGTTATTCCGATCGTCCAAGCGGGACAACAACAACCAGGGGTTGAAAGAGAAAAAGCCTCGTCACACACGTGTCTACAATAATAATGCCTACATTCTTAAAGGGAACCCTAGAAACCTACGAGTTTCCTTTGTTTTATCTTTTTTCCAGTTTCCTTCTCGGAGGAGGTTATTAATCGACCATTAACCGACAATTCATGCACGTAAATCGAGTTTGCTGCACATCAATTTCAACGTCGTTAAATGGGAATCTTTGCCTCGAATTATGTTCAAATTCGTTCGAATTCGTGAAAGATTCCGACGATTTTACAGGTTCCTATGCACTGTAATGTACTGTAAAAGCGATCTCCGATAAAAGTAATTCGCAAGATTGCTTTCCGACATTCGTCTCCTTCGTCTTACATGATCGTTTCTTTTCTTAACAATTTTTCTTTACAATTCAATTTTTTTTTCCTTTTTTCTTTTCTTTGAATTAAAAATTCCTCCCATTTCTGGCATCGAACTTTTTTGTTTTTCATTAGACATACATCGTGTCATGGCCGTTTGACTTTCCTCGAATCCCTCGCGAATCGTAATTGCCTGCGTCTCGACAAATATATCGCGTGATATATTCGGATTAATAGACAATGCACTCCCGTGTACTCGTTTGTTGGAATATGCAATTTTATCAAGTACGTATTATCTAAGATACTCGATAACAACCTGTAATTAATTGGCACCCATGTATCTTCTGTTAAGGAAGAGATTTTCATAAGAGAAACAAATCCGTATAACACGAAACGAAATTTGTAATTGTTCCCGCAAATTAGACGAAACGAAATAACAAAGAATATATATCGTGGAAAATTTTTCACTTTGAAATATTTGATTTTAAGGTTAAGATTTCATTAATGAACGAAAGTTTATTAGAGAAATGAAAGGATCTTAAACTCGCCCGGTTGTTTGTGAGATTATTATTTCGTATTCAGAGAACAACAGAGGCAACGCGCGTCACCAATGATCATTTTGTTTGGCTGCGGTTCACGGAAGTCAGCTGTAAGCAACAGTCTCCTCTGTTCCTAGTTGCGCGTTCTATATTAAACTTAAATAGCAAACGTTATTTTCCGGATTAATTTAATTTTAAGACGTTTAAGATGGGGAAGGTAATTTGCAAAGATGAAAAAGAAACTTTAATATCAATCCTCAGTTATCGTTTTTCCTTATTCGATTAATTCCTTGCGATTTCGCAGCGAGAGAGGATATAAAAAGATGATCGCAATTGCAAGGATTTCACTGGAAAATGAAAAAAAAAAAAAAAAAAAAAAAAAGAAAGAAAGAAAGAAGAGAGTGAACGTGCTTACTAATTTGCGTTTAAAATTACACTCGAAAATCAACCACTATTCAACGATTGACCGTTGTTTGTTCAATCCCTTCCTTAGACGTTTAATTTTCTTTCATTACGTGTAGAAGAAAAACACGTGTATCAAAGGAATTTCTCGTGCACATCGATGTCAAAGGCTTTCCTTTCTTCCCGAGGCCTTGCTCGTTCATTACTCGTTTGCTCGATTATTTAATTTCCCTGGTGAATGGAAGGGAGACAAAGGGAAACCCGTGGCATCGGAAAATCATGAATACATGTGTATCGTCGTGTTCAATGGATGGAAAATATCGCGTAGATTAAAGTATCGTTACATATCTTGTTACGTATTAAATTTGTAGTTTTATATTTCAACGTAACCCTGAAAAATAATATTACACGCCGATGTATACCGAAGTATATCGCCCATTTATTTCATATTCTGCTTTAACACGGGTTAAAGTTTCGATCAGAAAAAAAAAAAAAAAAAAATCACTTTCGCATGCTGCGCACTTAAAAGTAAATACTCTTCCTTTAATGCAGTTAAATGCAAAATAGCTCGCATAGTTTAATTAAAAGAGCTTGCCTCGCTTGTCATCTCTACACCCTCGCACCCTTCTCTTTCTACTCATGTACAAACAATTCAATGTATACGCATGCTTTATATATATATATATATATATGTAACCAGTTTACTACATGTTTACTACACCGGTTATATTCTATCGATAAATAATTCGAATTTATCGTATTAAAGCGCGCATCGTGATACTTTATAACCCATCGATGTAATCGTAAACATCGTGAACGCGATCTTGGTTAAGAGTTCGTTGTGTCGTCACACAACGATCGAAGTAAGGGGTATATCGGTTGCGAGAAATTCAGGGAAATGGTCACGTTATTTCAGCATGTCACCGCGTAATGGCTCGTGCGTGGCGGAAGTAAGCTCGGTGAGGAGTCTTTCGTCGGACGATGTCTCGGCGACGAAGACGAACCGGAAGAAATCCTGCTGGGCACGTGCCACGGATCCGGCTCATCGCCGTGGACGTCGAATTCAGTTGTTGCAGATGTTGGTTTTGCCATTCATACCGATCCTAGCATTGATCGTCCAGACAGCTAATACCCTCCACGATATCTTGATCTATCGGCAGGAGGTCTCTGACATCGAAACGCAGGTAATCCTAAAGAATTAAATGTTACTTCAATTAAATAATTTATTCACACTTTTTGACGATTTGTTGCTGTTTTCGTTTCTCGTTACGTTAACCTCGATTCGTGCGCTCTCTTTCTTTCTTTCTTTCTCTCTTTCAAATTCGAGGGTCAAATAAAATTTCTAAAAAAAGATTTCGAGAAATAATGTTTGTTGATTCGCAATTTTCATCACGAAATATAAACGTGTAATTTAACGATAATCGATCGATGAACTATGCGAAAGGAACGAAGGAGTGAGTAAACAAGTGCGCCACACCTACGCATTCATTCTTTCAATCGTAGTGCTACGATCCTACCGTCCATTTCTTCGATTGTTTCACGGTATAGATTATGACAACGAATTGATTTGCAAACACTTTATCGATGATTTATAATGATTTTATGGTTTATTTATGATAGGATAATTTTTCTGAAAAATGAATTTCTTTTCCTCTTTCTTCTTAAATTCTTGATTAAACGTTAAATCGTATCACTGTGTGTTTGATGTTATCTATCAAGATTTTAATTAAAAAATAAATTGTCAAATATACAATGATGTAATTTAGTAAATTTCTATTATTTTTTTCCGGCAATTTATTTATCGCTCTTTTTAACGAAAAAAGAAAAAAAAAACAACATTTGCTATTGCGAAGTATACGATGATTACTAAATCGGTATATTTTATGGTTGACCTCGATTTCTTCATTTTCCAGTTCAATGCCTTCTTTAATGTACAGTCGCTCCTCTTAATATCGGGCATGCTAAATTTTAATGAAACTTAATTCGACTTTAACGCGCTTCATACATGAATTTAACAATAACAAATTAGACCATTGATTATAAATTCTCATACTCGATATTTGAATTCATAATAAATCTATATATATACAATATTACAACGTTGATAAATTTGACAGCATCGATTTACCGATTAAAAATGATATTTTCCATTGTGATGTAAATAACTAGCAATAACTCATTCTATCACAACACACAATGCATTGGTCATCAACAAAGATACATCGATATTGTTTCATGTTGCGTCCAAGTTCTTCACAATGGTTCTTCATACGGTATCATATTGTTACCAGTAAAGCGATCGATCCTCGAAAATAGAATGGAATTCTCTCTCTGTTGGAAAGAGAAACTCACAACAACACAGCTTTCAATTTCAGGATTCTTTTATTTCTACCCAATTCTAAATTCATGACTCGCGACGTACGACGTGTCAAATCGCTTTCAAACGTTTCCGGTATTTCCAATCTCCGCCTTCGTTCGTATATCTAAGATTTTGCCTCGAACAATTCGAGACCGGGTCGATCACTGCGTACATAATTGAAGGGAAATGGGCGGACAACGAGGGACAACAGCTCTCTTGGCTTACTTGTCCAAGAAAATTTCCATATTTCCAGAATGAAATAGTGTCGCTCGCGTTTGTGGAGCTGGTTATTATTGTAGCGTACGTTCGGAAGGGTTGATAAGGAGGAGGAGGGGAAGGAGGAGGAGGAGGAGGAGGTGATGGATCCGATCGAAATTGATCGAAACGAGGGTGTAGCCTCGAGTGCACTGTTCGATCTCGAGTTACTCGTTTGACGAGCACGAGGAAAGATGGAAAAGAATGGACGTATCCTCCTCCTTGCTTGTCCTCGTCCCTATCTTCATCGTTCCACGGTGTTTGCCGTCGCGTCCTTCATGCTAAGCGTGTCGAGAGTTTTATACCCGTTCGCGTTGCTGCTCTGCCACGCCCTCCATAATTAAAATCTATAAGAAAACCAAAGAAGAAACTTAATTTGCCTTTTTAAAAGTACGCCGTTTCTACATTGTTGGTCAAAATTAAATTGCTCTCGCCAATACCATGGAACAATTATATCTATTATCCTGGCATTAAACATTGAGTTTCTTGGTAAAAGTACGATTTCTTCTTTCTTTTTTTTTTTTTTTTTAAATCTCTTTTTTAAATTTTTTAAACTCTCGTTTTCAATGCGTGAATAAAATAAAATCGCGACGAAGATTTGTATTCATTCGATCGATACGGTCGCAAAATCTTTACCATCACCGATTAATTTTGGGATAATATGTGTATATTAAACGAGTCGTGCAAAATTATTATTTTATTCGACGTTTCCCATTTTTCATTTTCAATCGAACGAGCATCAATATTCAACGTATATTGTTATTTGAGAATTATTAAAAGATAGCAAAAAATGATAAAAAGATTAATTTAATTTTGCCAGATATAAATAAGATTCATCATTACACATTAATCTCGAAATTTCGATATTCGTTCGTTGCATATAAAAAACGATTCGCTCTTGAGATAAAAAAAAAAAAAAAAGGAAAGAGATGATATTTTACTACTACTTTTTACAACGTTTCATCACGACGGCCGACACATAATTGTTAGAATGCTGTATGAGAATGAAACGTAATGGAACCGTCACAAGTATAACAGAAGGCCATTTAGGTACTTAGAAGTTGGAGTGACCGCACGATGTGTAACTAGGAGATATTCACCCATCCTATCGTATCCACTTTGTCCTTCCGTCCCTTACGATCAATTCTATCTCCTTTTACAAGTTTCACGAACTCGGGAAATAATTGGTTATTAACTGGCTTCGAGCTTCGACCGAGTTTATTTTGCGATACTCTATTCCAATTAATAACAATAATTTTCAATAAAACGTTTCCTGTTTTCATTCCTTCGTTCCTTTCCCTTCGAAATAACGAAACCGCAAATTCGTAATCATCGATTTCTTACACAGGTAACAATCGCCACTGATTTGGGGAAGGTTGTCACGCGGATGCAGCTCGAAAGATCCGAGGTTGCATTCTTTATTTACACCAATGGCAACACTCTAAGGTATTAGCGCGTAATGTAACGTTAAGTTTTCAAAGCGTTCGTTATATCAAAGGTCAGAGTCTAACCTGCGTTGCAACCCACATTGTTCATTCGTACGCATCGAAATACATTAGACGTTATACGGTGTAGTAGATTCGTTTCACTGTTTTCCACGTAATTTTAAAATCGCTTGATCTCGCCGAGATACGTGACTCAGTAACAAAAGTCGTTCTTTTAAACAGGGGGAAACCCTTTAACAGTGCAGGTCAATGAAAACAGATGGGCAACAGGGGTATTCTTTAATCGGAGACATCGCTGAAAAATACTCGTTCCTTGGCATTTGAAAGAAAACAATTGCGAATTCGAAATAAAGATTCACGCCTAGGCGAAATCATTTGTAACAGAAACAGAGGAAAATTTAATCCCTTAAATCTCAACTTGCTTATCCTCGATTTGTAATTACACATCGATACTCGGAAATTCAAGGTAACGATTAAAGTCGCAGTGATCAGTGAAACGTAACGTATTGACCTGACCCTTCCGCTTCGATTCTTCCATAGTAGCAGGGGGAGGAAACTCTGTAAAATATTAACGAATTTTTCTCCGGTTACAAAAATAAATCACCAGAATCCCTCTGGTCAACGAAAATGTCTCGGCTTTGTGAATGCGCGCCAACTACGTGAACGAATAAATAAGCCAACCTTCTCCGCCAATTTATCGACGTAACGCTAATACGCCATGGTCTCTTGCATTTGTTCAAGGTCAAACTTGACGCAGAGGTTCGCCATAACTGATCAAGCTCTTCATAACATGACTACGTGGCCCCTGGTCTCGGTGCCGAGGGATGAGAGCAAGACGCAAGCCTATGACGTGGTCAGCAAAGAGGCTTTTCAAGCACGCCTCGAGGATTTCAGGTAACGAATCGATTAATAAATACTCGACGGCTGTCTTCTTTACTCCAGACAGAATCCACGTGTATCGCACGATGAATGACGTCAGAACGTCCCCCTTATATGCATCACGGTTTTCCCTTAATCACTGTAAAACTTTCTTTCTTTCTTTTTTTCTTCTTCTTTCTTTCTTTTTTTTTTTTTTTCTTCACGTAATTGATCAAATAACAACACAACGATTTTCTTCATCCTTGACTCTGTGACCATCTTTTTCGATATGATTATTTGGATTGAACTTTTTAGAAATTTAAAATGGAAATTAATCTTGGAATAATTAATTATTTGCGATTTTACGTGCGTAGTCAAAGTGAAGGAAAGAAAGAAATTATGTTAAATAGATTATGTAAGTCGATAAAATGTATCGAATTAAAATGTGCTCGTTCATTTGGCTAATTCTAATATTACCTTTTGTCGAGGATGGAAAGTTACGGCAGAATCCTCTATTCCTTCAAGCCTTCGTTCCGACACTTGTTGAATTTCCATTCAACCTCGAAGTGGACAATTCTTTTCTTCCGCGTATCTCTCCTCGTCGCTCGATAATATAGAAACTTTTTCTTTTTCTCCCCGATAAATCCGGTATTTCAGCTCAACGTTCATTTCCATATATATTATAATTATATATATATAATAACTGATATTTATCAGGTAAAAATATTGTTGAGCGAATTTTAATAATATCGTTCGAAGGGAATATGTTTTAAAAAATGATCGTACATCAAACATGATAATATAATATATATGAAATCAAAAAAAAAAAAAAAAAAAAAAAGAAAAATCGATCGAAAAAATGATCGACAAATTTTCACTTATTAATTTTATTAATATTAATTAATTCCGTTTATGCTATATCGCATAGAAGATTAGGATATTATTTTAATACACGCGCGGATGCAACGTGTATAATGGTCCAATGGCAGTGGATCATCTAATTAGAAAGGGAGAGCCAAAAGGCGCGGCAAAGAAGATACATATGGTATGGTAAAATGGTGTATGCTTTTATAATAGCACCGTCGTCGTCGTATTTGTCTTGGCATATCGATCGATTATAAAAATACGTGACAAGGATCCGGTTTTTCCAAGACCAAGAGTTCGAGACGGATTATCGTTACATCTCGTCGAAATACGTGTAATAAGTGTAAACTTGACTTATTGGAAATTTAATTTTTCATTTTTCTTCGAACCGTCGCGTTGTCAAATTTATTAAAATTATCGAAAAATTAAAATTATCGAAAAGGGAGATTAATCGAATTAATCCAAAGCTAGATTGAAAACACGTTGGATATTAACACTTTCTTTGACTATTGGAAATATATGCAAAAATTACTCTACTCCATATTCTGACGAACTGAAAACTGATCAGAGAACTTCAATTTTATACGTCATCCTTTACGTATAATATCCTTTAAATCGATAAAGGCCAAGAGTCCAAGTGTCATTATTATTATTATATTATATAATTTCGATAATTTCGATTCTTGGTTGTTAACAATGATTTGAAATAAAAGAGCACTCGTGGAATCTTGAGAATAAAAATTTGTATACGACGTCTTGTCAACGTCGAAATATCAATAAAAGATAAACGAAAGGATTAATTTTAGAATATTAGTACTGACATTTTATTAATCTGTCTGGCAAACGATACTAATTAAAGGACGTTATGCTTCCCGCATAAATTATCTAGGGTGACATGTTAATGCAATGGAAATTTCTCATCTACGTGACCGCACGTGTATATTATCTACGCGTTATTTCCATTTGAACACTTATTTTCGTTAAGTAAAACGGCTCGTTTCTTTCGATCCCCGCGTGTATTCGTTCTTCTTTTTTCTTCTCAAATTTTGGAAAATTTTCTGAAAATTTGTTTAAAAATATTGTTTGTTAAAAAAAAAAGGTATAATTAAGAGGCAAGTCAATCAAGAAAAATATATAAAATTTTTGCTCACGTATCGCAATGTCAAGATCCGTTTGATTTCTTGTAATAAGAAATTCTCCATTGATCGACCCTAAGGTTTGTAGTTTTTTGCCTTTGGCTATTGTATGAACGTACGTCGGATAATAGAACGCATTTCTGTCAGCGGGAACACCCGTAACAAGGAGCTAACAATCCCCTTCTTTACCACCAAAGATATCACCCACATGGTTGACAAAGATAACGGGGAGGAAAGAATGCGCGTTAACTCTATTTCGTCGAGAAAAAAAAGCCGATTCCCGGAGTTTTATTAATCTTCAGCCGATCGATCGATCGATCAGTCGCCAATTAAATTAATTAACGTAGCTATTTAGGTGATTATTTTCAACGTTTTAACAACCTTCCATCGCTATAGCTGGTTTCATTTTGGCCAATTAACGTTCTAATGATATTCGTTTCGCACAGCCTTTATGCAATAACGTGACTGTAAATACTGTCTATCGAACTATCGAATACATTTTTTTAGAAGATTAGAATTATCTTGATGACTAATGCCACATTTGTGTAAAACGTGTCAACTTTATATACATTTCATTTCGAGCCAGAAAGAAAAAAAAAAAAAAAGGCATTTAAGAAAGTGTAATCGAATCCACCAATGAATTGCATCTGCCTTATTAAAATGTCAAATGGGAATAACACGTAAGTACGAAGCAGTAATAAATTCCCTCTCAAAGAAATCGTACGTCATTTTGCCTCTGTCGCGCCTCGGCCTTCTCTGTCGAACTACCTTTATGAGCAATGGATGAGGTTGTCACACATGAGCGCGTGACCGCCCATTTGGAGCAGTAGACAATATTTTTAGACCCCTCTACCCGCCTCCCTCTTTCCACCCCTCCTCTGCTTTCTCTTTGTCGTTCTATGACTATCATGTCTCTAACTAAAAACTGCCTCGATACAATGAATACATCTAGTATCTGATGACTCGAATCAATCTTCCCATACATATATATATATATATATATATATATAAGTATATCCTGCGACAAGATTCTCTGTTCAGAGTCTCTTATTCGTAATAGTTGCAAATTCTTCTATTTTATATAAAAAGAAAAAGAAAAAAAAAAAAGGGTCCAGCAATGAAGAAATTCGAGAAAGGAAATCGATAGAATCCTTTGTTGTATCCTTACAATATTATTATTATTATTCAAGTTTAAGTTTCACCCTTTGTAATGGATATGTACCATCATTCGATTTTTGATACATGAGCAACGAGATTTAACGGAGGTCTTTGCAGGTACAAAGTTTGTTCGTTTCTTAGGCAGAAGATAAGTTCGGAAGAGAGCAGCATTACCGAAGTGATGACATGGTACACGAGCGTGAACGCGGCTATGTTAGACCATCTAACTAATCAGATCAAAGAAACGGATAATAGCGGAGTTTGGAGGTGAGTTTTTTTGATATTGTCTTTGATAAAAAAAAGAAAGAAAGAAAGAAAGAAAGAAAGAAAGAAAAATGATTCGGTAAATATTTCTTTTTATTATTATCTTATTTGAGACGTGAAAAAGAGAGGAAAAGAAGAGAAGATAGTTAACTCCAGTGGATTCGTTTGAGTAAGTCAATTTTTCAGTTAACAGAAAAAGAAAGTTTCTGCAAAAGTGGGATGAAGAGTTGTGAAGAAAGTCGAGTTGCCCATCGAGCTTTCTCTAAAATAAAAATCAATTTCAAACTTCGAGTCAACTTTTCTTCTCCTTTTTTCTTCCTCTTCTCGAGGATTTATTCACAAGTTATCACAGAGCTTATTACACGTTAAAAAATATTGTACGTTCGCGCAAATATGGAAATGTCGTATTCGTTTCAGGTATTTGATAGCTTTTAAAAATTTACTGAGAAGTATCGAGAGTTTGGGTATTGCTTCCGTGTACGGAATCAATTACTTCGGGCGTGGAATCCTTCTCGGGGACAATTACGTCAGCTATGTTCGCCACGAAGCACTTGGACGTGATCTCCTCAACGGATCTCTCACATACGTGCCTTCTCTCAAGCATTTTTACGCCGAACTCACCCGCACCATGCCAGATTACGGGAGGATTAAATCCAGGTAGGCACAACGGATTATTTAAGATTACGATTATTTAAGAGGAGAAAAATTATTTTATAACGGAGAGAGGAAAGGAAAGGGGGAGAGGAAGGGCCTGTTGGAAAAAAGTTCAAACGCGTGTGCAAAATGCATGAAAAAAAAAAAAAAAAAAAAAAGGGAGATAGGTTTGTTCGGAAAACGTGCGTTACAGACGAGATGAAATCCTCCAGAACCGGAAGAGGGAACCGAATGTCGAAGACGCGATCGCTTATTTCGATTCAATGGCAACTTACGTGGACGAACTGCGAAAACTTCAGAAAGAATTACGCCACATGATTAGGTAAATATTCATTCACAATTGGTTCAACAATTTCTCTTTCGTCGTTGAAATTTTCGAAAAATATATATTTTTAACAGAGATTATGTGAACTCGACTTTACAAGACGCAAGTAACAAAGAAGCTGCTGGGATAGCTATAGTTGTGCTAGTGTTGGTCGTCTCTCCCATCATTATAATATTAGTGCGTAACGCGGTTGCGACGATTCAAGTAAGTAAATATAATTATTCGATCTTGTTTTTATGTGATTTACTTTTACTTCGAAAAAATTACAAAATTCGATTCAATTTATCAACACGTTTGAAAACGTTATTATTTTATCAATAATATAATTATTTTATTCGTTATTCGCAATAGCAAGGTACCGAAGTTAAAGATTTTTATCGCCATTTTATTTTGGTTTTTAATTTATTTAATTTCTATCGCCGTTAGCGACTTGAAATTGATCTGATTGTGAATTTATATTTTAAATTATCTACTTACCTGGTATTCGATCATAAGTAACAATAAATAGTATTTTCCCTTGAAAATTTTAGATGTATGCAGCTAATCTGGCGCAGAAAGCCCGGGAACTGAAACAAGAAAAAGGAAAAAGCGACACATTGCTTTTTCAAATGTTGCCACCCAGTGTTGCTCAACAATTGAAACAAACCCAACAGGTAATTAACAATCAATCTTTGAAAATATTATTGTATCGTTGATTTGTAATCATTCCCTTTGTTCCATTCAGGTTCCAGCAGAATATTACGAAGCAGTAACAGTATATTTCAGCGACATTGTTGGGTTTACAGAAATTGCTGCGGAGAACACTCCCTTAGAAGTAAAATTCTTACATTACTATATATAACGTAATCCCTTATTTTATTTTTACTTTATAGTATATATACCACGTCACCTTAGGTTGTCACCTTCCTGAATTCGATCTACAAATTATTCGATGCTCGCATAGAATGTTACGACGTGTACAAAGTTGAAACTATTGGCGATTCGTACATGGTTGCATCTGGGTTGCCCGTTAGAAACGGTAAAATTCCCATCCCATTCGATCGAGTTGCACAAATTATTAATGTATTTTAATCTAAAGCAATGATTTCGAAGGAGACAAACACGTATCCGAAATAGCAACGATGGCCCTTGATCTCTTGGCAGCTTCGTCGGTGTTTCAAGTACCGAAGCGACCCGGGGAACGGCTTCAAATACGAAGCGGCGCCCATACAGGACCCGTTGTTGCTGGAATTGTGGGCAGCAAAATGCCTCGTTATTGTCTTTTTGGGGATACCGTAAATACGGCTAGTCGTATGGAATCAACCGGAGAAGGTAACCCTTCAACTTTCCTATTCATATACACTTTTCATACACATATTTTAATCTTCACTTATTTCGCGCCTAAAGCCCTGAGAATACATATCAGTCTAGAAATGAAGAAGGCTTTGGATGCTGTGGGAGGTTTCAAAATTGTACGCCGTGGCTTAGTCGACGTTAAGGTAAATAATTCAAGATATATACATACATATATATATATATATATATATATATATATATATAAAATTATGTAAGAAAATTTTTTTTCAGGGAAAGGGACTAATGGACACATATTGGCTGGAATGTAAGGACGGTGGTATCGCTCGTGCGGCGGAACTGGATTTGCCCTCGTTCTTCGAGGACGTGCGACCAGTTTTCATACGTCGTTTACGAGAGGAAGGCACCCTTTGATGCGAACCGTACTCCCGACGGGACCTCTGGTACCTGAACCGACCACCTACTCCTTACATTCGTCTTTCGCAACCTAACCTTATCGACCACTTGAAGAAACCGACCCAAGCTCGTAAAAATCGACTGTCTCACCCAAATCTTCATATTACTCCCGTTAAGCCACCCCCTCAATCTCAGTCAAGTATCGAGTCGCAAGACTCTGCGACGTACGAGGGAACTCAATCGACGACACCCTGTCCGCCGAGTTACTCTCCGAGTCAACGCAGTCGTTACTCCCAACCGAATCTACCCACTCTTTTGATATCCCACGAAAAGAGATCCGGAGGTTCGGCCGATCGACGTATTAGGATGTCTCAGCCTACGTTGAACTCGAGCTTCAGCGGCATCAACTTTGCCGGGATGAATCGTAGTTCAAGACTGTCCTACCCGAGCCTTAGGGCAGCTTCCGGGGATAATAGTATTAACGAGGAAGAAAGGTTATCAGCGAGAAGCGTACAAGGTTTCAGCGGAAGTTCGAGAGGAAGTTGGATGGATCAAGGTTCCTCGAGATTGTCGCAATCGGACGTGACACGGTTCATCTTAAGGCAGGACGTGCCAGCGAAACGGGACCGTCTCTCTCAATCTACTCTGGTTATCGGTGATTATCACCCAGGTCGTGGTCAACAGAGATTATCCCAACCTTGCCTAAGTACAGGGAAAGATCTTAATTTACCGACAATGGTTTTTCACTCACCCTCACCGCCTTCTGTTAAACACAAGAGATTCTCTCCTGCCATACATGCTAGTCAGAGAGAACGCCTTTCGCAATTAGATATTGGTGCTAAGTATAGAAATTTCAAAGAATCGGCCGCGACGAAATTTAACAGGGATAGGTTTTCAATACCCGAACTGGAAACACAAAATGATCTTAAGTTATTGATAGCTGGGACACCGAAGCAGAGATTCAGTTTAGATAGCCAATTGACACGCAACCAAGATGTAACTCGGTCTAGGTTATTGCCAATAGCTAGTTCACCTATCAATGAACACCAGCAAACTAAGATCGAAGAGCAGACAGGAGGAATCCCAGGAGGTAAACTTAAAAGCCCCACCAGAGAAGGCCTTGGAAGTGTGCTCGTGGCAAGTACAACTCCAATATTACCACCGAACGAAAGAGAATTGTTGTCGACCGAGTTAAGTAAAATAACAACTGCGGTTGTTAATTCGACAACGCAACAGAAGGATCAAACGACACTTAGGGCGAGCAAACTTCATAGATCAGTTTCACCTATTCCTACTAGGGAAAGAATGTCAGTGCCTGAAATAAGAAATTCGAGTCTACGCCGATTGCTTGACCCACCAATGAGGCAAAGACACAGTATTACGGGCAATTTAAGGCAGAGTATAATCCTTCCAATTAAGCCTCTCGATTTTGGCAGGAAATCGCCGAAGCATTTGTTCGAAGAAGCCCTGGAAAGATTTCGAAAGGATGAAAAAGAAGAAAATCGAAAGAACGAAATTTCAAATTCGGAAACTCTTGTCGATATTGTTGATGAACCTAAACATATTCAAAAACATTACTCGTACACGTATGAAAGTACCGATGACAGTTCCTCGATATTTGGAAAGATAAGCATGTCTGCGATACCAAAGAAGAAATATTTAGAAAGTAATTTTGATGAGAATGAACAAGTAATTACTACAGTGATCGAGACGGATGTACCAATGATAATGGCCAATCCAAAGTATGTAAAAAAATCATCTTATTCGAGCGAAACCCCGAAATGGATTAGAAAATATTTAGAAAGCGAAAGTCCGAAAGTAGGAAGAAAGATGGCAAGCAACAAGGAGAAAACTAACAGAAGGAATAGTCGGAGGAAAAATTCTTTGGAATCGATGGAAAGCGAGAAAATTACAGACAAAGTTCGTTCGAAATCAGTGAGCAGCGGTGAAAGGAGTCCAATGCTAAGAAACACCGGTATACAATCCGAATTGAAAAATATGAAGAATACATACGTAAGAATTGTTCCTTCGAATAAAATTCAAGAAAACAGATATGAAGTAAAGATAGAGAATAATTGGATCGATGGAAATATTCACGGACTATATGGTGATGAATGTGAGGATACGGATTCCGATGATTCCACGTCCATTTAAATTAAACTAACGATTAAACTAATCGAATAGATAAAACAAAGAAATTTTGTCCAATTAATTTATAATGATATTTGTAAATTGGTGAGAGATTAAAGAAAAAATTCATATTGTGTACTTAAAGCATAAAATGCTACGAATTTTATGAAAATTGATATTTTCTAGTTACCAGTCAAGGATATGTATTAGATAACAGTTTGATTAGCCTAAAGCACATCTTGGAAACGAAATAACGAAAACTGATATGTCCGATCCCAATTTTATTTTCTCATATTATCATATTTGTAATGATCTTTAAATCTCAATGTATTATTTTCATTCAAACGAGAAAAATTTTATTTTTTATTAAAATAAAATTAAAACAATTTGTAAATATTTGAATTAATTCTGTTATACTTATTGCGATATATAGTTAAGAAATTCTTAGTAAAATTCAGGACATGGTTTGGTATTTTATTATTCACTATTATTCGTAATTCGTATTTAAAATATAAAAATTTTTTAATGCTTGCTGTGAATGAAAGAAAATATATCAGAGAAAATAGTCTAACTAGCTATCACATCAAATACATAAACTGTATGAAATGTTCATTTTCTTGTCAACATACCACCGACACTTCTACAATTTTATATATATATATATATATATATATATATATATATATTTATAGTACGAGTATCGAGAAATTTATATTTTTTTTCTATGCTAGTCATCAATGAGATTCGTGGAATTTCATCTCAAATTCCTATTATATATATAACGAAATATTTGCCTCATAAAAATATTCCAAAAAATTTGTATTTCGCTTGAACACAATTATATTGATATGTATTATAATGTTATGATATTATAACAGCATAACGCAATCGATGTAACGTTATAATATCTTAAACTCAGTATGAATGTAATATAATACGGTCATGAATGTGAAACTTATCGTGAAAGTTATCGTTAATCATAAAATTGTTAGTCCTTTATATGTCATTTAATATATGATTAAAGATGTTATATCAAAGATATAATCAAAGGGAAAAGTATATAAAATATATTTAATTTTTAAGAAATATGAGATCTTTGCATACTTTAAATCTCGTTAAAAATTAATTTTTATCAAATGGAAAAATGATTCAAATTCATAAGTTTTAAAATAATTTATAATTTTTTTTTTTTAAACTTGAAAAATACATGCAAGAAATTTTACCTGAATTATATAATAAATATGCACCATAGATTTGCAAAACATAACGCACTTTAAATTTACATATCTTGAACATAGTATATTATGAACATAGTATGTCTAAATTTTAATCGTTATATCATGATCATTTAATTATTTTTTAAAAAATACCACTATTTTTTAAAAAATTCCACTATTGACGAAAATTATATGTGATGAACAAATAAAAGCAACTCGTAGAAATATATTTAAAATAGTAAATGTAAGAACTATCAGATAATTACTTTGTTACGAAGACGGTGTTCTTTTAGGCACGGCATAGAACAGAAACGATTGGAATTATATTCGAAAGGCACCTGACCTGCCATATCCACACCACATTGAAAACATCGTGAAATTACAGTGCAACCTTGTTTTAAAATGCGTTGTTCTGCAGCCAATGCTCTCTGTAATAGAAATTCATACTATTTAATGATTCGATTTATCAATACAATATTTATAAATTTCATAATTATTTTTTAAAATATATATACTTTTTCTCTATCACTGAGACAAAGATATCTTTGTTTTGCATCTTCTTCTTGCTTTTTAAGTTCAAATTCTTTTCTCTTCAATTTATCTTTTTCTCGCTTTATTTTTCTTTGTTGTCTTTTTTTTTCTGATTCTTCTTGTTCTATTTCATCAGTAAGTGGTCCAGGTATTTGAGACTTTATAATAGATATATGTATCAGTTTATAATAGTAATAAATAAAAATAATTTTAATAAATAAAAAAAATAAATAATAAATACCTTGCTATAATTAAATTTATCGGGATTAGCACCCATAAATCTTCTAAATATATTTCTAGTTTCCTTATCATTCGCCGCTGCATATGGTGTTTGTAATTTCTTATTTTTATTGCAAGGATCTGATCCAATTTCCAATAATTGCCTAAAATCGAATAACTAGATAAATGTTCTAAAATAAAACAAAAAAAGTTAGGCTAACATTGATATACCACACTAATTTTAAGTGTCCACCCAAGGCTGCTAAATGTAGCAACGTATTACCATCTTCATTGGAATCATTTACCAATTTTGTTATATCATCTTTATTTATAATTGAATGAGAACTTATAGTTACATCTTCTTTATTTTGTTCTTCTAATTCAAAACTTTTTTCTACTTGAATTAATAGATCTTTAATAACAGATGTCAGTAATTCATTATCACCTAATTTACATGCAGACCATAATTTAACTTTAGCATTGGCCAAGATTTCATTCATTACACATTCTGGAAAAATATATTTTAATAAATATAAAAAATATAATTAAAAGAATATAATAATAATTCACCATCTTTTTTTGTCTTTTTCTTCTGACGACGAGATTTTTTATTCTTCATATATCTTGGTACAGTATCTTGAAAAGCGAGTAAATTTTCATGAAATTCTACTTCTAATTCTTGTTGAATTAATGAAACATCCATTGGAACATTAACAGTGTTTATTTGATTATCCAATTCTTCAACTTTATCCAATTCTGATTCTGAAGATGATTGTGCTAACTTAGCAACTATATCTGAAAGATAAGATCATAAATAATAATTTATTTTTATATTAATTATGTATAATTATATCTTATTAAATATTTATAACGATATTTTAAATTTTATACCAGGTAAAGGACGGCATGGACTTTTTCTTGGTTTTGCTCTATCTATATAAGATCGAGAATTTCTATGTTGTCTTTCAGGAGATGGTTGAGCAGGAACTTTATTTTTGTCATTATCTTGTGTATTACGGATATTACTGGAAGTATTAGAATCATTTTCTTCATTTTCTGTTTTTATTGGAATTTCGCCAGAAACATCAGTTTTTGATAATTTTTTCCTAAGAGGTTGACGAGGTGAAATAGGAAAAGAATCTGTAAAATCAGCTGCAGAACCTATAATATATAGCATTAATGAAGTAAATATAAACATATTGAAATATTTAGAATCAATATTAATATTGTACCATAAATTTCCATTGTACTTAATATGTCATACACTCTTTTAACTTCATTGAATGTTGCTCTACGAGTAGGAAAAGGTAATGGTCTTAATCTTAAGTCATTCTTATCTAAAGGTGGATTTTTTCCTCCAAATAATACAGTTCGATTATATGGACCAACAGCTCTATATAAAATTAGAGAGGAATTATTAATATAAGATGACCATGATTCAAGTATATCTTGTACATGCTGAAAAAAAAAAAAAAGATTAATAAATATAGCATGAAAATAATTCTTATTTAAACTTATAAACTAAATACCTGAAGAAGAGATGCTTCATTATAACGACGTAAACTAGCTCCAGCACTTTTTGCATGATTAGCTGTTGTACGTGAACTTTGGGCAAAGCCTTGTTTTGCTCGTACAGTATAGGAATGAAATGTTTTATGTACAATGGGTTCTCCATCTAAAATACAAAAATATATTGATAATATTCATAATAATACAGAATATTTTCTTAGATATTAATATTAATACCTTGAAATACAGCTGCAGCAAAATGTCCTCCACCAATCATGATAACAGTCCATGTCGTTTTCCTCCCACTGTCCAATGCCTGAGCAATCATCTCATTGTCTACTTCTGGAATTTCCTAAAATGTAATTGCATCTCTCCTGATCTGGCAAGTATAGACACGCCAAGTGATTCTAATAAAGTAGATTAAATTACAAGATAAAATCATAGACAAGTATGTCTATACTCAGAGAAAGTTACTTACAAAACTATATCTCTATTACTATAAATGAACAGACCTTTTTATTATGAAGTAAACACCTGTATATACTAAATATATTTCCATCATCATTTTCAAAAAAAACTTTTGAATGACGACTTGCAGTGACTAATAAATCTTCAGTTTTTTTCTCTTTTATAATATCATCACAACATTCTGTATCAGAACTATCAGAAATTGATTCCATATTTTTTCCTTTTTTCTCAATTTTCTTATTCTTATTAATAAGATTTCTATTTTCACAATGTCCACTAGGTAAAATTCCAGTTTCAGAAACATATGTTTCATCTTCATTTTCAGAATCTACATCACTACCGGATAAACTTGAAACATTACCTATAATATTAATAATATGATACTTTTCATATTGAATGTGATAATTTTATCACGGAATTAATAATTTTAATACCTTCATCAGCAAGAAGGCTAAATTTATCTTCATTTATAGGTTTTAATCCATTTAAACGCTGTTTCAAATTATATCGATGCCAATCTAACTTATAATGAAGTCTTTGTTGTGCTTTATCTTCAAATATAGTATTACAAAATGAACAACTTAAAGAATCGGATACAACTAAATCATCAAGTTGATTCAACAATTTCTCATTTTCTGAAACTAATATAAAAATATATAAAAAATATTTTAATTTCATTTTATAAATTTTCATAATAAAAATAAGATATTATTTTTAAATATCATTCTCGACTTTAAAAAAATAAGATATTGTAACCTCAAATATATGTTTTCTGTATTTAAAAGTTGTAAATTTATTAATTTGATGAATGACGTAATGAAACGATAAATAAATAAAATAATTAAAATTTGATAAATGTTCTTAATTTTAAAAAATATGAAAGTAATAATTTTAAAAGTAGAATCATTCAAATATGAACATAAATTCATATTAAATAACATTTTAATAAAAATGAATATACTACATATATACATAATTACCAGATGACGAACGTGATTGCATGCATTGTGCTACTTTAATTCCTTTTGTAATTCTATTAAAGTCTTCTTGATTGTATATTTTAAATATGTGATGATCCATCATTCACGCTATATTTTAACTAAAAAGATTGTATGAAACTGAAAAAATAAGATATAATCACTAGTAAAATAATAAAATTTTAATTGAAAAATTAAAATTGAAATATTTATTTAATAATGAAATAGAAAATTCTAATATTATTTTATACTAACTTTTTCACGTATATGTATGTAAAACACTTTTTGATAATTAAATAGATGTCAGAATCGAATAGCATCTACTTGACAATCCCATGCAAGTCAGAAATAATTTATACTATACGTTAATATTAGTTTTTTTATTGAAAAAAAATATAAATAATTTTATTAAAATAAAATTCTAAAGTTATAATAAACAATATATGCACTTTCGATTTTAAATATATTTCATTAATCACATCACATACAGTTATATTTTAACTCAGCTCTGATACAAAATTACATCATCAAATATATTATCGCAAATGGAAACAAAGTACTAATAAAAAGAGATGAGAAATCAAAGAATAAATCTATCATTCAATACATTTTTTTTTTAAATTGGATCAAAAAGACTCTAATCAGATTCTTCAATAGGTTAGGTAAAAAAGACAATAAAATTATAGAAATATAGAAACTGTTTTTTGAATATTTAGTATAAATTTAGTATAAATTTTGCAGATTGAATATAGATAAAAAAGTATATATAGATAAAGATAATAGAGAAAGAAGGACAGAAATAGATTGAAAATTGTAAAACGCCATCTTTAGAGTGACGAAATGAAATTCACATAGACAAGGATAACAAATAATAGGAAAAAAATAGAGATAAAATAAAATTAACTATTAGTGTTATCATTTAAGAAACAATGACATTTTTTTAAAACAAAGTAGAATAAAAAATAATAATCTGCGCCATCTCTCATGATATTTAAGAGATATTCAAAAATTTTCAATTCTTACCTTTATTTTATATTGCTTTTGAAAAGATTTTTTGTATTCAAAATATGGCATTGATGGTTCATTCTTACTCTATATATCTTTTGCCTATGAGTTTTATTTACAATATTTTTCTTATGCAATGGCTAAATTCTATCTTAATTCTATCTCTGTCTTTTTCTCATCTATATTTATTCTATAAAATTTATACATTAAAAAGTCAGTTTCAATATCTAATTAACTTTATTTTTTTTTATTAATATATTGATTAAAAATATACAAATAATAACAAATAATAATAAAACTTTTAAATTTAATTTATTTTGTTAATATTAAAATTAAGATGTTACAATATTATAATAATTATTAATATTCTCCAAATATTTCTTCAACAATTTCAACTAAAAAAATATTCTTAATTCATTATAATACAGTGATATAATATATTTTACATATACATGTGTATAATATAATTAATGTTAAATTAATGTAAAAGGTACCACATTTAATACTTGATGTTTAACTTTTTGAACTTAATTTTACTTTACCAATAAATAAAGATATTATATATACAATTTCAGTCTTAAATTATAAAGAAATTAATAATTACATAACTAAACATAAATAGTTGATTTGTAATAATAATTTTGTACTTTTTATAATTTTATATATAATATAATGCATATTATAAAATATTATAAAATAATATGCATTATTTTATATATATATTATATATAATAATGTTAATACATATTAGTCACATTTAATTATTTTTTTATATAGAATTAGAATTTTTATATTATTTAATTTTTTTTATTAAAGTTTAAATTATTGAAATAAATCTGTTTAATTTTAATTTTAATTTTGATTTTAACATTTTTAATTTAAATATAAAATTCATTTTGTTATTTTTTTCTTATTTTAGTGTTATTTAAGAATATTATTTTTTTATATATTAATATACAAAATTGCTTTTTTTTCTATCAAGAATATTTATAAATTCGTATATTATAAATTATTTATCTTACTTATTAATTATTAAATTAGATACAATATTAATTAACAGTAATAATGAATAAATATATACAACATTATACAATCTTCTATAAATTATATAAACATTATTTCAAATCATTTCACATCAACATTATTTTGTTCAAGAATGTTAAAACATTAAAGACACATGTAGACGAAAATTAATATACCATTAAGTATTCCAATCAAATAATTCATTTGTATCCCTGATGTTTTTGCAAATCTGAAAAAAAAACAAAATATATAAAAAATTAAAAAAGAATAAAATTTCAGAAAAAAAGAATATAAAATTCACATATATAAATTCACATAATTAATTGTTATAGTGTTATTTAATAATTTGATAGTAAATTTTTTTAAATTTCAACTTACTTTTGCTTAGAAGGACTAAAAGGAGTAGGTGGATTGATTCCAGGAATACTGCTATCTTTGTAAATTATAAACCAAGTAAAACCCATCATAATAAGACCACATATTGCTGCTCTTATTAGCCATCCATATGATTTAAAAAATAATGTCATTACATTTACAACATCATCGTATTGACTATTATTAACAAATTTTTCACTTAGAACTGTTAATTGTTTTATATTGAATTCTGATACATCAGGTACATATAATAAACCAAATATATTAGATATATTTGAAAATATAGATGTTGTTGAGACTATATATTTAATACTATTTTGTGGCTCTAAAATACTACCTAAGAGATGATATATAAATATCAATATTCACAATATTATATAAAATATCCAACATGCAAGGCAGCAGTAAAATTTGTTTTTATAATTTTAAACTTATTAAAAGTTGTATACAAAATATTTATTGTTATGTCAGATATATAATTTAAAAAGCATAATTTATTAAAAATAAAGAAAATTAAATTAAATTCACAAATTTATTTTAATGATATTCTATTGCATAAGTATAATATTCCATTAAAACATAAATTATTATTTTAAGCTTGTCAATACGAAGATATTGAAAAAATTATTACAAACACATTCCTTATGCTTAATCAAATGTATAAGATATGTATGTACAGAGCATAAACACATGCAATGTCTATTAACAAACACACTAAATTTACAAAACAAAGATTTAAATAAAGTATTATTTTCCTCTCAATATCACTTACCATAATTTATATATAATTTTCCCAAAACAATAGATAATGATACTACAAAGAGTAAACAAATAAAATTCCATTCATTCATTTGTAATCTTTCCCATAACCTCATTGGTACAATGCAATTTTTATTTGTTACTAAATCATTAGTTTTATTTAAACGAAAATTAAATTTCTTCTCGCCCATTTTAATTTACAATCAATAAATACTTATACGTCTGCATTGAATATTCACAAGATTATGAATAACAAATGATATTACCAAAATGTATTACCAAAAATAACAGTGAATAATAATACATAAATAGATATACGATTCATACACACGTGACACACACAAAATTTCTACGCATGCGTTTGGAAAACGTTTATTCAGGACTGTATCATTATTAATTTTTATAAAAATTCAAGAATTAAAATTTTTTAAATATTAATTTAATCTTTATAAAAAATATATACAAATTCTAAAAGAATTTAAAAAATATATTATTATAGCAAATAAAATAAATAAAAAATAAAGACAATGTTTGAAAATTTTTCTGTCCTAATTTATATCAAAATAATTTATTTTTTTTATAACTTCATTAATAGTATCATATGATTATATAGTTATAAAATAATATATTTAATGTGTTATATTATAAAAACAGATGACAATGTTTTGTAACGCTACTGTAATTATAAGATTATGGAGGGGTGAATGATAGATTGGAGATTCCAGTTAACCGCATTCGTCATTCGTTTAGCGGCGAAGTTTGGTCTGTGTAAGGGAGCTGGACTCCACTAGAAACGAATTGTGTATACTTATATAAAATCATAAACGTGTATATATGTATTATTAAAAAAAATGGCAATACAAGAGGAAATTGGTATCGGAGATTTGGTTCTTTTGGATGAAATCACATTAGAAAAGATTGTGGATAATTTACGAGTTAGGTAAGATTATATTTTGACTAATGGTGAATAAGGCGGTAAATTAGGAAATTGGCGGGAAATTTAGGAATATAAGTTATTTGTTTCTTAAAGAACATGACAGGTGTCCTTTTTTGTATTCCGATGATCTTAGTAAATACTTCATAGATCATCCACCAAGAGGGCGTGGCTAACCGTATATTAGCAGGTGGTTATAATTCGGCTTCATAATTTGGATTTGAATTCGATCTACAAAATCGATGATAATAAACTATATCAAAATTAGAATTGTTTTTAATTGATAATATAATTTTATATATAATATAAATATCAATAACTATAAATTTATATATTTTCTATGTTTTTATATTTATGTAAAATCTGTAATTATATATTCAACACTATAATTATAAATATTTAACTTTCATATTTTTTTATAAAAAAAATTAGCATATGTTCAAGAATGATATATTTAATTTTATAATAAGAAATGTTTAAATCTTATCTCGTTTTGTATTCTATGAGTCATCGGTTTGTAACTTAAACTTTACATTAACTCACTAATGTATTTAACAATCAAAATGTTTTGGCCTTCTTTTATTTTATATATATATATAAAACGTAATTAATTATATTATATTTAAAAATGGATTATTTATTTTATTCAAGTATATACGTATTAAAATACAAATTATTTAAGAAAAATGAATAAATTTAAACGCACGATTGATAAATAATTTAACAAAAATAAATAATTCTAATATGTTATTCAATTATATATTAATATTATTTTATACATAATATTTTATAAATAAAATATATATATATATTTATTTGTTATATAACTAACTATTATAACATTTGATAATAATAGTCAGTAATAGTCATTTGATATCAGTAAATGATAAGGAGATAATTGATGAAAAGATAATATTTATCTCTTAAAAAAAAATTAGTATTGTAAATATATAAATTTTTCTTGAGTTAAATTTCAATAATATAATATTCTACATATATTGAATTTTTATTGATTTAAATTGATTAATTGATTTTTTTATTATTTATATTATTTATTTCATTTATTATATTCTATATATGTGTAATTTTAGATATAATGGTGGTAAAATTTATACATACATTGGAGAGGTATGTGTCAGTATAAATCCATATAGGAATATAAATATATATGATAATGAACATATTAATAAATATAAAGGTAAAAAATATATTGTAAATATTTGTTAATATTATTTAAATAACATTAAAAAATTGTCAAATACTGTACATAAATAATATCAAAAATATATATAAATATAAATATAAAAATAATTGCATTTGATAATTATATTTTAGACAGAGAGTTATTTGAAAATCCACCACATATTTTTGCAATTGCGGATGCAGTGCATAAAGAAATGAAACAACAACGACGTGATACTTGTATAGTAATAAGTGGTGAATCAGGTTCAGGTAAAACAGAAGCAAGTAAAATTATTATGAAATATATTGCTGCAGTTACAAATTTAAGTGGTCAACAAGAAATAGAAAGGTACATATTCATAATTATTCATAAGAAATATATTTTATTATTTAAAGTTTTTAAAAAATTATCTATTTTTAAGTATAATAAAATAATTATCTTTATTTTATTTATCTTTATAATTTTTTATTTTTAATTAAAATTATTTTTTTTTATATTTCAGAGTAAAAAATATTCTTATACAATCCAATTCAATATTAGAAGCTTTTGGAAATGCAAAAACAAATAGAAATGATAATTCATCTCGATTTGGAAAATATATGGATATAGATTTTAATTTCAAAGGAGATCCAATTGGTGGGCATGTTACTAATTATTTATTAGAAAAATCAAGAGTTGTATATCAGCAAAATGGTGAAAGGAATTTTCATTGTTTTTATCAAGTATTTACAATAATTTAATTTTATTTTATTATTTTTCATTTTATTTAATATATTATATAATATATAAAATATTTTATTCAAAATTTTAGTTAATAAATGGATGTAGTGAAGGAGAATTAAATAAATTACGTTTAGTACGAGATCCAGCTGCATACTTTTATGTTGGTGCAGGAAATTGTAATAAAGCAAGTCCAACTGATAAAAGTGATTATAAAACTGTTACCTCTGCTATGTCTATTCTTGGATTTACTCAAAATGAAATGCAAACAATTTGGAATATCATTGCTGGGATATTACATTTGGTTTGTTATAATTAAAATAAAAAAAATTAAAAAGTTATTAGATTGTTCTTAATTTGATATTTGATTTATAGGGTAATATTACTTTTAAATTTATTGAGGATAAACTTTTTATTGAAAATAGAGCTGCTTTGAATGATACAGCAAATTTATTTTCTATCAGTATACAAGAATTAAGTACAGCTCTTACGCAAAGAGTTATTGCAGCTGGTGGAGAAGTTATGCAAAAAACTCATACTTCAACAGAGGCAGAATATGGTCGAGATGCCTTAGCAAAGGTAATGATTTTTTTTTTTTTTACAATTTTTTATTATATATATGTATGTAAAAAATAAGTAAATATTAAAATTTGAAATTTAAAATTTGAAAAATAAATTATATTTCAGGCTATATATGAAAGATTATTTACTGAAATTGTATCTCGCGTCAATAGTGCAATTAATGTAAATGATACAGAAACTTATAAAAGATATAGAACTGTAATTGGAGTACTTGACATATATGGTTTTGAAATTTTCGATGTAAATAGTTTTGAACAATTCTGTATTAATTATTGTAATGAAAAACTACAACAATTGTTCATTGGTAAGAAAATCTTATATAAAATTATTATAATAAAATTAATATTTATAATATTTCAGAATTAGTATTAAAACAACAACAGGAAGAATATGAAAGAGAAGGTATTGCATGGCAAAATATTGATTATTTCAATAATCAAATAATTTGTGAATTAGTAGAACAACCTCATAAAGGAATTATAGCAATTATGGATGAAGCTTGTCTTAATGTTGGCAAAGTTACAGATGAAGTTAGTTTTTTTAATTTATTATTTTAATTTATTATATTATTTTTTATATATATTAATAATTTATATTTATTACGTATTTATTATAAAATTAAATTAATTATATTTTATTAAAATATTATAATTATTATATAATAATTTTTTTTAGATGCTTTTGGAAGCTATGGATCAAAAATTATTTGATCATAAACATTATACTTCTCGGCAATTAAAGCCAATGGATAAAGAACTCCAACATAAAGTTCAATTTAAGATTAAACATTATGCTGGAGATGTAATATATAATATTAGTGGTTTTTTAGATAAAAATAAAGATACATTATTTCAAGACTTTAAACGTTTACTTTATAAAAGTAGTAATCCAATAATTAGCAAAATGTGGCCTGAAGGTGCTCAAAATATTTTAAAAGTATGTAAATATACATTTTATAATTGCTATAAAAGTATTTTTATTATTATACTATTTTATTTTAGACAACAAAAAGGCCTTTAACAGCTGGAACTCTTTTTCGTAATTCCATGACAGCCCTAGTTAAAAATTTAACAAGCAAAGAACCATTTTATGTTAGATGTATAAAACCTAATGAAGTTAAATCACCGGTTGTATTTGACGAAGAAAGAGTCAATCATCAAGTACGATATTTAGGTCTTCTTGAAAATGTATTAGTTAGAAGAGCAGGTTTCGTATACCGTCGACGATATGATACATTTTTAAAACGGTATTTATATTCATATAAATGTATATTATTATATTCATATGATTATATTATATACATTATAATCATATATTTATATTATTTACAAAAATTCAATTATATTACTAAAATTTTTTTTTATTAGGTATAAAATGATATCACAATATACTTGGCCAAATTTTAAAGGTGGTAATGATGAAGATGGTGTGCGTATGTTAATGGATGAAAAAGGATTCAGTAATGACGTAGAATATGGACATACTAAAATATTTATTCGTTCACCTAAAACACTTTTTGAATTAGAGAAAGTTCGTTAATTTTTATCTAATTTAATCTATTTAAAATTTTGCTTATTGAGGCAATTGTCAAAATATTTATTTTTGTTTATTTTTAGGCGCGTAGTGATTTAATTCCAGGTATCGTAATATTATTACAAAAACAATGGAGAGGATATTTATGTCGTCAAAAATACAAAAAGATGAAAGCTACCCTTATTATAATGAAACATTATCGAAAATATAAAACATATGCTTATATCAAGGAATTAGAAAAGATATTTCGAAATGCAAAAACAATGCGAGATTATGGTAAACATTTAATTTGGCCTCGTGAAAACTTCGCTGTAAGACATATAATATCTGTTTTAAAAATAATGTATGAA